AGGCCGCGAGGTGCCGGCCTGGGCCTGCCCTGCGGAGGCCGCGAGGCGAGGTGCCCCCGGCCCCCAGCAGCAGCACGAGCCTTAACACTGATGGAGGCACAGGCGTGTGCGTTCGGAGAGGAGGAATAAAAGCAGGTTCACAGCTCGGCCGAAACTCAAGAGCGTGGCCCGGCTGAGCCCCTAGAGCTGCAGTACCTTTCCCTCCTTTTCTTATTTATCTTTTATTTTTTCCAGACATAGATACTGCTAAGATACTACTTTCTGCAGTTAGGAACAGTAATCATGGATGTAAGTATTGTCGCCAGAGTAGTGCCGGAGCCGCCACACGGCTGAGTTTTAATAACCCACTGATATTTGTGCTGATCGGAACAAAAACCCTGACAACCCCCCTCCCCCTTCCCACCCCAAAAATAAACTTTTCAGAAAACAGCTGTAATGTTTCATGGCAAGAATTGGAAATGGAGGCGGCAGAGGGTAAATTGCCGACCCTGCCGCCCAAGCGGGCAGAGGTCCATGGATGCCAGTGGGAAGAGACTTGGGCCCAGAATAGCAACGGGCTACCTGATCTTCAACGTTTAGTAGCATTGTTTGACACACAGTGTTTGAAAAGAACCTGATTTGTTCCGACGGTAAATATATATCTTCCTCTTTATATATAGTATATCTTTATAAACACACAATGAAAGCACGCCAAGGTCTCAGACTGGCAAGGAGAGCAGTGCTTTTTCTTTTCCCCTCTATTTTTTTTTAAATTTCTTATATTTTTTCAAACTTCCCTCTTTTGAAGCTTTGCCTCTCATGGAATATCTTTACCAAGGCAAGTAAATATTGTGATAGCACCAGAACTATACAAAGCTGAGTTTCATCTGCAAAGCTGATCGGTAAAAGTCCAGTCCTCACCTAAATGTGTTTGGTCAGAAGCAGCATAGGCAAAAACTTTCTCTCCCCTCTTTTTCTGAACAGTACATGGCACAAAGGTGTTTGCTTCATAGCTGTGAAGTTCCCCCCCTCCTTTTACTTTTTTTTTTTTCTTTCTTTCTTTTGAAATGATGGATATTTTTACTGTCTTCAGTATCTTAGGCATGAGAGCTTACAGCAACTAAACAGAAAACAAACAAACCCCAAAGGAATAGTGCAGTTCTTATTGTAAAAAGAAAAAACATACAAAGGTTGTTTGGGTTGCCTGCACCCAGGTTCAAGACTGACTCAAAGTGTCTTGTTCTTGCAGCTCTAATACTGAGGTACCAGCCCAGCCTAGCCCAGGAACATGTTCTTTTCACGAGTTAGTCATCATGCTTCTTGCAAGACAGCAGGACAGCAATAATGGAAATGATTTCTTTCTCTCTGATGAAGATCACAACGTGGACTCCAGAGACGAATCGAGGATGTCATCATGATGGCTGTTGCTGTTGGAGTCACTGTCGTAACTCTGGGGACTTGAGTAGTTGGCTGCTTCTTGCAGTCTCATCAGCATGTTCATCTGCAAAAACAGAAGTCCGGGATTATTTGTACACTATGAGGCAGAATATCCACTCCATAAAGAAGTCACGGGGACATTCACTTTGCCAGGGTGTGACCAAGCTAAGGGAAAAGACAGCTGAGCTAATTCCTATTGATTACGTGAAATGAGGTATTACACATGTGAGCAAGCTAGCCACAAACTGCATGCTGTTCCAGGAGAGGTGAAAGGTAGAATGAGGTGGTGTCTACAGCCATACTCCACAGGAGCATCCTTCTTGCTCTCATCCTTCTCCTGTCTTGCTCTGACTTAGGGAAGTATGTAGAGTAGTTGAAGGAGGCTTATTTGAATGTGTGAGCACACAGCTCAATGTGTGTACATATATAGCAGCTTGTGAAAACTGTAGTACTGAATGAGTATGTTCCCAATCTTCCAGAAAAATAAACACCTCAAAAGAACAGTTTCAGGGTGTTCATAGCTTGCACAGCAGTTTCAAGAACTGTCTCCCATCAAATGAAACGTATATGAGGTCCAACTTGTACCTCAAAGTATACATTTTACAGAAGTGCATGTTAAAATTGATATTTTAGTTTCCAATTTGTAAATTAGACTCCAGTCATGGACAGCACTGTTTCATATACACAATGCAAAACTTAGTTTACTTTTGAGAAGAAAAAAATGGTTCAGAGAACCATTGAAAGCAACATCTATTTTGTGCTTCTGGCAGAGTGGGACAAATCAAATGGCTCCCCTGTGTTATCCACACAGCAGAGATGTACGAAAGTACCCAACTCCACAGTGCAGAAATTAAGCTTATTACACTCTGTCAGTCACTCAGCTCATAGCCTCAAAAAATGAATTCAAAAAGTTTCTGCTACTGTTTTCTGCAAAACCTTACGGGCTTTGCGTACCAATGCACACCCACGGGCTGATTTTATGACTTCCTGAGAAAGATTTCTCATTCAAAAACCTTGAAACACTTCCCAGTTTATATTTGATTCCTGTTTCTAATCCCCGTTAGCAAGGAAAACTAACCAGTTCTGACATTTAAAAAGAGAGAACTTACCAAAGGATCTCCTTCAGCATCACTCACTGGAACTTGTTTGCTGGTAGAGCCTTCCCTCGACACAGAGTAGCCATCAAACCCCACATCTTCAGGCCGGAGTTGTAGCAGAGGAGGCCACTCATGATGCTGTGGGGTGGCTGCCCAGGGATAAGTGTCCATCACCCATTTGGCAGGATCCTCCCAGGGAGCTCTCCTCCCATACAGCTGGAAAATTGCAAAGGCATTTTTTTTTTTTTAACATTGCTGGCAGTTTACCATTTTACTCAGCACTTACACAATCAAAATGAATGTGCCACGACCGCTCCCCTGCAGAAGAAGCTTTCAAGCAGAGCTGAAATAAAATGAACGAAATTTTCACTGTCCAAATGGTTCACAAAGTTCTGGGCATTTTTCATGGCAAATGACATGGAAGAGGCTGACCACCTCTTGCACAAATGCAGCACCCCAACACCATTTAAAGAAACTTGAAAGTAACCTCACTTTGGAAAGTTTGGGGCTTTTTTTTCTCTCTAATTAAATAAGTTAAATACAGACTAGAGGCCACTAATGTTCATATCTGCTTTACAACAGCAAAGCTTACCTAAAGCTCCATAGGAGGAAATGTGATACCCGTCATCAAGCAACAACCATGAATGTCACAGCAAAGGTTTCTAAGACAGGAGAACTTCTCTGCACTCAACCAAGAAATAAAGCACCAGAAGAATTTGGCTATGGTCAGGCCTAGCTTGTTCTACTCCTTGGTCTATTTTGACAGGTTTGCCATACTCAGACAAAAAGAAATTCCTTTTCATGTCCCATGACTTTCAAAAGCAAAATGTTCACTTGATTTCCAGGTTTTCAGTTCTGCTCTGGGAATTTCTGTGCCAAGCAAATTTAGGGATTGAAACCCCAATTCAGAGACCTCTCACTCTCGTATCCAATACAGGGTGGGAAAACACAGTGGGTGGAACAAGGGTAGTTGAGGTCTTTGAAGGACCTAAGACTGCCTCAACTTCCTCACTATTTATTTCCTTTTTCCTCTGGCACTCATTCTATTCTCCTCCTCATTTCCAGTGAGCAAATTTAGGACAAGCTTTTCTGAGCTTACCTCACAGGCTAAAGAAGTCTTATTTTTCCACCAGAGCTTTTCTGTACAAGTTATGTGAAACTTAGGTGGATGTGAATGCAAGCTCTAACGGCAGTCAAATGCCACGCAGAAATCCCAAAGCACTGGATTTCTCTCCACACCAACACCTGCTTTATTCAGAAGCAGAATCCCTCTGCTCACAGCACATATGTCCAGTAGATGGTGCTCGACCACCTTGAACACGTTCTTCTTGCACAAGGCAGCGTATCATTTCCCCAACACCGTCTCTTCAGGCTTCGTGTAAACCAGCTCTCCTGTTTTCACCTCATTCTTGAATTTACGAGCAACACATGACAGCTACTAAATGGGGAGAATTTTACATCTTAGGCACTGTCCTTGGTTTTTCACAGAGACCTGGTCCCTTTTGTTCCTAGTTCACCCTGAAAACTAGCTAACGAGTAGGATTTCTGCTTCAATATATGAAATAATCACCAATCTTCAGCAGTCTGGAGGCTGAATCCCTAACTCACTATTCCCTTCCACAGCAGCTGCTTCTGTGCATCCCCTCTGCAGGCAGATTTCCTAGAGAGGAGCTGCAACATCGACCCAGCCAGGCTGGTTCTTGGAGCACCAAGGAGAAGGAAAGAAGCCACGGGGAGCCTGGGTCCCCTTTTTATGGGTGCCGTATTCTTCATCAATGCAGCAAGCAGAATGAACATGCGTTCTTATAGCCCTCTAATTTTTACACCCCTGTTTCGAAGAACCAAAAGCTCCGCAGCTCCAGTGAGAGCAGTTTTTGCAGGATCCATTTGGCTCACTTGTCTTGGACCCAAAATAGTTCTCTAAATGAGAAATAGAACTATAAAAACAGCACAATTCAGATCCACAGAGGACAGAATTAAATCAGTCCACCCTTCCTTCCTGGCAGGCAATTCCAGATGGGAAGATGTATTCATAGGGGGGTCTTTGTGGCAGGACAGAAAATAAAACAAAAGGAAACACACACTTCTAAGCAAGGCCCTTGCTGCTCTTTGAGGACTGAAGTCAGACTCTTACCCACTAACTCAGTAAGAGAGAGCTTCTGGAGTAAGTTGAGACATTATTTAAGTGCAATTTCTTAGTGTTATTTAGGGAAGCAGGATCAAGAAATTAAAGCAAAAAAAAACGAAGCTATTTTTTCACATTTTAGACTAATATTTTACAGACATTTAAGTATTTTGTGCGCCAAGTTACAGCCACAGAAAAAGCTGTCATTACTTAGTTTTATTCAGAGCTGCGTTGCCTTCCAGATGGGTACCAGATGGATCTGCTCACCTGTAGTCCTTCTCTAACTGCCTCCAGGAGATATGGGATGATGGAGTAGTTCCACAAGTCGGTAAACCAAACTCTAGAACCATCCACATCTATTGGACACGAGAGGAAGAGTCGCGGACCTAGAAGAGCAAATTCACAGATTACAGTCAAACCATGATCATGAGAGGCATCAAAATAGGATCAAACAGCAATTTCCAAGTTTCTACAGAAATGAGCCCGGGATGAGAAAACAAGCATAGCTATCCGGTCCATTGTTCTTCTTGAGCATTTGAAAATCTTTTAAATCAACTTGAAAAAGTAAAGCCCTTCAGGAGAAAACAACTTAGCAGATTTCATAAGACAGCATGCATCAATGACTAACTGAGGTCTATTACAAAGTGTTTAGAAACTTCTCCTTCAATTTCCTTGAGAGGACACGGCGATTTAAACGCAGAGTTTTAAAGAAACCTTTTTTTTTTCCACCCGGTGCAGTAAAAGGAAATAAAGTATATACATTCATGTTGGTCTAGAAATGAATTTGTTTCCCAAGCAGGCAGAAGACTTACCGATAGTAACATCAGAGGAGCTGTGAGCCTCCAAGAACTTGTTCAGGTGTTGCCAGACCTTGGGAATCCAATCAATGATTTTAACCAGCTCTGCATTTCTCATCCTGCCACTAATTTCTGTTTCAATGAGTTTTCTTCTCAGGAAACGACCAAGAAAGCCCTTGACTGGCTCAGTGTGGTTAGCACATAGCACCCATCTAAAGCAGGACAATAAGAATGTCAGTCATTTATTGTTCATACCAGAGAAAACAACTACCTTGGCCAAATTTTGTTTATTATCTAGCTATTCCAGTCATATATTTTTCTCAGAAAAAAATATTTTGGAATTATAGGTTCACAATATTAAGCACTTCATGCTTTGATCCATTTCATTTTATTTCTCATTCAAGATCTGCTTTGCCTGTTATCATATTTTAAATATGTTTGAGGATCTAGTGCCTTGAAAAAAAACCGAAAAGTGAAAGTTTTACAAACTCTAGTGATTTTAATAACAAAATCATAATGTAAAGCTGCACATGTTAGGGCAGCAACTAGCAGAGATTGGTATTTCTCCTTCGGTTTGCCATTTCAGCTGATAAGAACAACTGCAGATGACTCAGTAGCCCTTACTCTGTTACCACTTCAAAAACACAAATGAGAAACATGAATAAACAGTACCTGAAATTATGGTGAAGTTGAAGATTAGGTGTTGAAGAGGTGGCTTGGTTCATAGTGCCAATAATATATGGACTATTAAAAAAAATCATGGAAACTTTGTAAAGAAACAGAACAAAACAAAAAGATCCCACATATTTTAATAAGATCTTAACATTAAAAAAGATCGTTCAACCCTCTTTTGTCAAAGCAGGCTTTTGCAGTTATATATAACGAATTTTTCTACTGAGAATCTGAATTATAAGAACTTTAAATTATGAAAGCAAAATGGAAATCTCAAAACAGACTCTTCCATTAAAAATAGGCACTTAGTACAGAAGATCTACTGCATGAAAGGGGTGCAGATTACCCATACCTTCTACTACTTTTTCTATTACTTATTACAGAAAAAATAGCAGTTTTATAAAGCAAAAAAGCTGTTATGAAGCACTATCTCATAACATCATTTCTGACGACTTTTTCAAACGAATGCAGCGTTCATTTTGCATTCATATGTTGGACTGTGGTTGTATGACTGCAGTAAAGAGATGAGGAACACGATCTGAAGTTCTTTACCATTTGTGGTACTTGCAGTTTAGAAGACCATTGAAGATTTCTCCCAAGGAGCTAACATGATGCAAGTTATCCAAAATGATGACGAGAGGCATATCGACAGCATTATTTTCACTATTGCACTGGTCTGCTAGGTTGGACAGGTATTGGCGGAGTTCCTGCCAAGCACGAACAAGCAAACAACAGCGTTCACCACACTGCTTGTGTAGGCAGGCAAGACACTGAAAGACCAACGACTATTTGTCATGAAATCTGAAACAAAAGGACCTGCCACCTTACCAACGGTCACATTCTCCTCATAGAATTAAAAAAAAGGGGGTCTTTCCTCTGTGTTACTCTAAAGATTCAATGACTACATCAGAAACCCTATGTGGGATGAGACTCCGCAGGAGGTAAGATTTAATCTTTTGGTTTGTGTGTTTCTTTCCCCACTTGTGCAGTTCTAATCTGATGCTCAGAGGTCTGAAATACATCTTCCTTCTCTTGAGGAACTTGTTCAGATCTCTACATCCTAAGCCAGCTAGTTGCTTTACGTTCCAGCTGGGTTTGCTGTAGGTTCTTGCAACTCTATTTCTAGCTAAGTAAAGCACACAGAATTAATCTGGAGAAGGGCACTCCTCCACAGAGGCTGAATTCGGATGCCTTCTGCAGAAACATGAAGGAAGGACAAGCACGCAGTGCTACTGTTGGGTCACTGGGTGCGGTTGAAATGCTCTCACCATCTTTGAAGCATTTATTACATAGCACATCTCAAATTATACCACTGGGCTACAACCACTATTTCAACCAGCTCTTTTCTCTAAAGGAAAATTTGCCTAAGGTCATCAAATGTACAGACTTTTTCTTTCTTTCTTTCTTTCTTTTTTCTTTCCTCTTTTTCTTGCCTCTTTTGTCTTTTATTTTTTTTTTAAAGCCTAGAAATTCACAGGAGGGATATTCAACAAAACCAGAAGTACACAAAAAGCAGAGACATGCCTTACCAGCTCAGGAATGTGCCTGGACAACAGTACCTACAGAAACAGCATATGCAGATGACTGCTGCTGATACTTGCAGCTGCAGGAACTCCAACAGCCTAGAGATGCATTTGATGGTTTTTGGAAAAGAGCCCACATGCAACAGGGATCACTGAAATTGCTGGGAATTTTATGCAGGTGTTTAAGTTCCTCAGCAATTCGCAGGCTCCCAGGCACTTGAAAATCAAGACCCCTTTAGACACTTAAATACACACCTACTCTTTTGGCCCAATAAATGGGTGAAACAGCAGATTAGAAAGTCTTAATATTATTCCTTTCAAGACACATACAACGCCTTGAAAAGGAAGGTCAAATTTAAATCACGTTTAGCATATTATTAATGAACTAAAAAAGCAGGCTCTCATTTTTGATATGTGGTAACATTCATTGGGCAAGGGCAATTCCCATTTCCTCACCTTACTGGATTTATGGTCCACGTTGAAGGTTGCAATAATTCCATCGGCCAGCTCCCTGCCCTCTCTGAGGACCATATACTCGGAGAGGCGATTTGCCAGGTATGTTTTACCAGTGCCACTAGGGCCAGACAAGATAATCCGTCTGTGTTCCATCAGGAGAGACACATAGCGCTGCAGGATCGGCTTGGGAATCAGCGATTCAAACACCAGGCAGTCCAGGCTGTTCTCACAGATACCTGCAAAAGCAAAAGATCCCTCGACTAGGGAAACGGCTTTTTTTTTTTTTTCCCCTAAATTATTGCAATTTTGAAAGATTTTTTTTTACTAATTAGTTGTAATGCTGAAAGTATCCTACTGCTGAAGTTGCACGAAATTCAAAGTTAGTTGAAGCAATTGATTAGGCACCAGAGAGTGCTGGAAAATGTTGCGCCTGGACTCACTAATAGCATGAGAAACCCCCCAAAATATAACCAAAATATAACCACAGATGTAGACCCAAGGTAACCCAGCTGTTCCTCACTCCAGACATAAATCCTTTCCCTGTGTCTGTTACCCCTCCCGATGAAGCAGGGCAGACACCTAGAGCAGTTACAGGGAGTGCAAGGGAGGCTGTGAGCGTAACACGCAGCCCGCGCTTCAGCTTGCCCGTTTTTCGAACTAGTCAACCACCACCTACTGCATCCAAGCCCTTCTCTGGATAAAAGTTACAAAAATGATTCCATCTGAACCCATGAACCTTTAGTTTCACTGTTATTTTGTCATGTGCAGTACGTTCACCCAGAATTTCCCTGTTTACTTTTGAATCTATAGACCAAAAAACAAAACAAAACAAAAAACCAGCTATCATCAACTCCCCCTACTTTCCCAAACACTTGTAATTAAACTCCTTCTCTGTGTGCTGATGGTTATCTTCCCTAACATAAAACTGCTGCTGATAAGCATTTACGCAATATCAGCAGTCACCTTAGGCAAAATTGGCTCAGGAAAACATGCAATGCTTCAAAATAAAACAGAAAAGGAAGCTGGCAGATCCTACACAGACAGAAATATCTGCATCGCGATGGTTGGAATACTAAATATTTATATAGGCAGGTTTATATCTCAAAGGTGTAAGCAAATAACTGATTCCCATCAATTAAATATACTTATATATTATTGAAAAATGTTATCACATATGAACCTTCAAAGCACAAGCCAAGCCACTGCAAGTTAAACAAAGTCGGCTTGCAGCTTTATAGACCCGGCTCCTGAGATTCCCTATTGAACAGTGTATTCCAATTCAGCAGAATGCTCTGGGTTTGCATCAAGCCTTGGTAAACTAGGATACTCCCCGGCCTATTTTGTTTTTCTGCTTGCTACACAATGTAATTGATTTCTTATACAATTTCAGTTAATTGCCAGAGCCACGCTCTGAACCTCAGCTCCAGAAAGCTGGCAAAGCTTCCCAGCATCTTGCTACTCTGGGGCTCTACGCAGGTCTATGCTAGCTGCTTCATTGGCATAACTTGGAGCAAGCAAAATAACAGTGGTTGAGGATTTATCAGCTAATCTAGTTTCATAATAGTCCTGTAACTCTGAGAAACAACGTGGACTTATGGGAGAAATACCAACCTTATGTGCTTATCAGCATCACAGAATGAATCTGATGCAAATGTTAACAAAACACGGCCTTTCAAAAACATTTATTTCTAAGATTATTCAGAGTTTAGGACATCATGGATTCTGGGATCTGCCCTTATCTAAGGAGAGACTCTTAACCAAGGAAACTGCTATGTGTATAATTATTTCTACTACTACAGGTTGAAATTTGCTGAATTTATAAATGGTCCCTAAATCTCCGCAGTGCTTAGTGCTGTTTTTTTTTAAAAGGGCTACAATGCCAATGAATTCAATACAGAGACAGGAAAAAGAAACACAAGAGAAAGCTGTCACTTCTCTGAGCCTCTTGATGCAGCAGAGTTTGATAAAACTGTAATTCCTAAGAACTACCACTGAGGAATCAGCAATAAATACCTTTGACAGCAACTGAAATGGTGTTGTTTTCTCCAACCAGGTAGCCGCAGGGCAGCAGTTCAGGCGTCTCTGCGCTGTTTGTGCGCTTGATTTCTCCAATGCTGTAGCCCAGAACACTGTCCGAGTTCAGCCCCAGCTGACTCACTGGATCCACATGAATGATATACTCCTACAGTGCAAAAGGGATACGAAAATTTAGGCAATATTGCAAGCAATTTAGGCAATATTGCCTTTGTGCCTGAGGGTGCTATGCTGTAAGAGTAATAAACCTCTGAGAGTTAAGCTTTGCTTGGGCACACTCTGATGTGTGTCAGAGGCAAAGCTGTCCGAGAGGAACAACACGCAGTGCTTCTTGGATGCGCACCCAAATTCCAAGTAGGATGTAGACCGGGGCTCTTGCATGGGTGTCCTGCTGTCAAATAGGCTGGGAACACTGAACGGGAGCATCCAAACTCCCAGCACATTGTATGCACTTACCTTAAACAGGCGCCTGACCACGCCGTCCAGGACATCCCACTTGGTCTTGCCGCTGACGCCGATGCAGCCGATGAGGAACGTGCGGGGCCTGGCATCCTGAGCGCACACCAGCACAAATTGAACTTTATATGAGAATCATTCACGGCATATTCAGCTTTCTAGGACCTTTTTATACATTATACTACAAAGTTTCATCCTATTTATTTGTAGGAATGATGCCACAGACAGAAATCCAGTGAAATTATTAAAAATTCTACAATTTGTTTGTTATATTTGGTATATTACAGCATTTTAGTTTAAGATTTTGTTCCTGAGTTCTAAGGCAGAGAAGAAAAAAAAACCCACTCATGTCTTCCTTTATAACCGTCCTTGCTATGAAACATTCACCAAAGAAGAACTGATTTCCTTCATAACACTTCAGGTGCAATGCTACATAAGAAAACATTTTCATGTGGCAACTTTACAGACTGAGCACACCACGGAGTCCAACAGAATTAGCAAAATAGTCATGCAGTCCTTTTGTGTACCCAGGGTTGTCATTTATTAATGCCAAAAATGGTACTTAATGCAAAGGAGAATTTTATTTCTGACTATTCAAGTGTTTGTACTCCTTTACTATATGTATAAACACCGGATATCAATTCTTTCTTGGATGCACTTTTACTACAGAACAGGCACGGACAATGTGAGATAACAAGGTCAGTGCGTGGCAGAGAGTGCAGCAGGTTCATTCACCTATTGCAGAATTGGAGTGGACTTCAGCATACAATATTTGAAATGTATTTGGGTGTTCATGATTCTTTAAACTACTGGGTAATGGAAAACACCTGAAAGAGGACAATTCTAAAACATGATGCTTGCATCTGGGAGGACAACATGAACCAGAACAATAAGCTACAGCTCTCCCAGCCTGGACCCATCAGTTCTCGGGAAAGAAATGTGCTCCTAAATTTTCCAGTGCACCTCACCTATATTTTGAATTATTTCTATTATCAGTTAAACATTTTATTAAAGCTTAAATTACAGAAAGGTCCAAGGGCTTCTGCAGCTTCTAACACACGTATCTGAAGCATCCCAAGGGAAGGCTAGTTTGCTAACTCCCCTAAAGCCTAAAAGGGGGTTTGGCTTTCAGACACACTGAAATACTTAAATTGCAACACATCCTCTACCTCACTGACAGATGGTCTAGACTCGCACTCCTGCACTACTGCCACTGGTTAATTGTAAAAAAACAAACCAACAAAACTATCCCAGCTTTGTTCTTATCCCAAAACTATTCCCATAAGGAAACTTGAACCAAAGTTGTTGGCACTGCAGTTCTAAGGGAGTAAGAACCTAATTAGTGCCTTGTCTATCAGCAGTGGCAAATTATTTTGATAAGTTTCTTTTTTAAAACTTTTTGCAAATAAAAGCCTGCAAAACAGACTGGAATGTGGCAGAGAACTCAAACCCAGAGTCGCTTCTATGTGGGGACAACTCACCTCCTTCCATTTCATTTCATCCTGAAAGCTGACAACTATTCTAACATGCCTGCCTCCTTCCTTCCGAGCAGAGCCATCGCCGGGGTCATCCAGCAGCATGTCTGTGAACAGAAAACAGGGGCTGCACAGCTGCATCCTGCCAACAGTGCAGGCTGGGCTGGTTTACACTCTCACTGTGGTCAAACAAAACACACCTGGGCTTCCCATGCCCAGGGTAAAACATGAGAGACACATTTCATAGAATCATAGAATGCTTAGGGTTGGAAGGGACCTCTAGAGATCATCTAGTCCAACCCCCCTGCATACGCAGGGACACCTAACTTCCCTATTATTAATTATTAAATTTCTAACTTCCCTATCAAACATGAGGACTACTCTTGAAAAGGGAAGCTCACTGATAATTATTAGTCAGTCGCTCTGTATTTTCCTTCCTACCAAATAAAACATTCCTCTGGCAAATGTACACTATTAAACGGCTCTGAACAGAGCTCTCTGCAGCTGAGCTCATAATTGGACAGCCACGTGCTGGGTGTAGCAGAGCTGTGATGACATTGGAAGAGAAGGCCTTTTGTCAGCCCCTGACAGATTTCCACACCTTAGCTGCTAATAATTCTCCTGCTTTCATTTCTCCATGGCTAACCAAACCGAATCTTCCAAGCACAGGATAAAACCTGCCCACCGCCTCGCTCATTAAACTCACCGAGACTGGTTGACTCCGTGAGGTTCAAGCTGTGTTGAGAGAGCCCCACTGAATGTCTCGGGGAGGACGAAATGGAAACCTGAGACTGAGCCCTGCTACAGCTGCCGTGGTTTTCAGATTTCAGCCGATCGTTTTCTGCTTTCAATTTTTCAATCTCACTCTTCAAAAGACAATTCAGCAGTTAGGAGGCACAGTGAAAACAGACACTTAAAATACAGCAACAGAAGTAACAGAAAAAAACTCTAGTTTAAGTAGAAATGCAATTTTTGTAATACTTTCATCTATTTTAATAAAGTAATGATCTTTCAGTATTCCCACATCCCTTACATAAAACTTTTCCAAGTATCCTACAAAACACAAATACGTGGGAATTTGCTGAACACCAAAAAGCGGCTACGTTAAGGTAGAGCAAGGCAACTGTATAAGAGACTGCTGTTAGTTAGAAATGGTCTCTCCATGGGTTTCTAAGGCTGAAATTATTATGGCTGCAGAGTTCAGGGAGGCAAAATTCATTCCACTGTGCTTTTAACTGAACATTGCATGGACATCAAATTGTAAGAAAGCAAAATGCGGCTTCTGACAAGCAGCCAAAAAGTTCAGGATTCCTTTAAAAACTGAACAGGGGAGTGACACTGTAGTCACACGGTAATATCTGGGGTGGTTATTTCCTACCTGCATCCTGTTCATGGCCTCCCGAAGCTGGTCGAGCTGATGGGCAGAGCTAAGGGCTTCCAGGCGAATATCAGTCAACTTCATCTCTTTGTCTCTCAGCTCATTGCGTAGCTGCATGACCGTTTCAGCTTCGCTGTCAGTGCATTCAGAAATACTGCAGAAGATTGAAAAATAGCCATTAAATTAGATTACTAGTTAGTTTTCATAGTGTTCCCCTGGCATTTATTAGCAAAAATAAAAAAACACCTCTCATTCTGCAGGAAGGAGGCAATGGTTTTGGTTTGCTGCATGAATGATAACATAAGTCATGTGTTAAATAACTCACAACTCATGGAAAAATCGGAGACTAGTCAAATAGATATGTTTGAAGATAATCTTTCTTTAATCAGCATAAGAAAGATAATTCTGAAAATCATGTGCTATTGGATACTATGTTTTTTTTTTTCATGATAGTTGCCACAAAGGAAGTATTTTCAAGCCAAAATCTAGGTAAGTTAAGGGGGTGCAGCAGTAGCAGCAGCCAGCTGGAGATTGATGAGTTTATGGAAAGATTTAAAGCTCACCAGGTGTGCACAGCTGGGCTTCCCTCAAATGCTCTGGAGGGCTTTGCAACTCTACACCTGCTCGAGCATGATGAATTCCTGCTCACTTTAAAGCTTAAAAAAAAAAACAAAAAAAAACAAAAAAACGGTGTGGCATCCTTCATTCTCTCTTCCCGTCCAGAGAGATTCAGTGTGAGTAACAGTTCAGAGCACAAGTTGGTGTATCTGCATGAAGATCAAGTGCACAGCTGCACGTTCGGAGGGAGACCTCACTTAAAATGTTACTCCTCGAGTCGGGGTAATGAGAAACGTTTTCCCCACCAAAAAGCCAGTCAGCCAAAACACACGCTCCCTCCTTTCCTTAGCATGTGTTCAGGCTTTTTGCTTTCCAGAGTCTTGTCAAGACGAGATGCATGTGCAGCGCAGTTAGACTGAGGGCACACAGGACCATCATTTGCAGATTTTCTAGCCTGAGAGCTCCAAAGCAAGACTTGCTGCCGTCACAAGAAACTCACTGAGTTCGGGTCATGAGACTGGAGAGCCTTGATAAAATTCCCACGAGGTTATCCTCCACTACTAACACTTCACCGCCATTATTTAGCTGGAAATATTGCTACTGCTTTTACCCCTTCCTATGAAAACAAGTGATGGGCAAAAATTCAAGTTTGGGTTCTTATTCGAATGTATTTGATTCGAAATCAGGCTGCAAGTCTTTACGACACCTACAAGTCCATAAGGCTGTCTGATAGCCACGTGTTTGTCAGTGATAGCACTGACAACTTTCTGTATTGGTCCTACTCAAATGAAGAAACAACAGGCAAAACTGACAGAAAATCTGTTTTACAGAATTTTCCAAGAACGCTATAAACATGAATTTAGACTCAGTGTGCTCCAAGGCAATTGTTAAGTTTCATTTCACAGGTGGCCAAAAGGAGACATCAAGATCATGTGTGATTTCCCCATGAATGTAAGGTGAGATAAGCAACAAAGGAGAAACCTTGACTTTAAAGCCTGTATTTCATTCTCATACAAACACAAGCAGATGGGTATGCTTTGGTCATACGGATGAGGCCATCTAATGCTTTGCTACTACCAATTTTGTTCTCTTTCCTCACTGTCCAGCCTTTTCCTGGCAGTGCTGTCATGCCTTGCTTTCATCTCTGGAACTGAGCCAGAGGAAATCACTAACCCAGGAAAAAAATATTCCCATTGGTGTCATATTACTTTTCAAATAATTTAGCATGTTGAATCAGCTCAGTGGAATTGCCCGAGATGAAGTAGAATCAGTGCAAGGGGAGGATCAGATAGCGACGAGGAACATAAGGAAAGAGGAAAAGATTCTCTGTTCATCAGCTGCAATGTGTTAGATCAGTTCAGCCCCACTGCTGAACTGTGATGGTTGATGCTCAGGAAATTCTTACCTTATCTGCATCTGTCTACTTAACGAGGAACTCATCACAGCAGATTAGTTAGTGCAAGAGGTGCTGTCTTCAGCCAGCAGAGAAAACAAAATCCCAGACTTAACCTCATTTGTTTGACTACTCAACAACACAAGATCTAATTAGCACTGCCCTCTAAGGTCACCCTGGCTATAAATATTTTTCCTACAGAACATGTTCTGCTGAGAGAACACTCCAATAAAATACTAAAATATACTATGATAAAGCTATAGTGATTTTTGGCTTCCTGGCAATGCTAAGGCACTGGATAGGGAATCAGTATAAATTCAGCTTTCCTATTTTCTGCCTGTAATCTATGCAAACTACAGCAGAGCCAGAGTAGACAGCACTATCTTTGCTCCTTGTTAAGGATTTTATCAGATAACATGCACTCAGCAGAACAGGGCTTCTGTTTGAGAGATAAGGAAAACAGCCCTTGGAAGCAGGACCAAACCGGGGCAACAGAGCAGCTCTGGTCTGCAGGACAACCTTTCCTGGGCCACCTTGTCATTTACTGCAGCCCCACGGTGAGCAACTGGTTTTGGTGATGCAGGTAGTTGAACAGCTGTCAAACTCTTGAAGTGCTTATACAAATTTGCAGATTCTGATACAGAATCCATTTAGTTCTGGAAAGTGGCCTACAGTGTCCTGTAAAACTAGGATTTGGTACTTGCAAATCGCTTACTACAAAAGAAGGAAAAAAAAAAGCCACTTACAGAGAATTGGAATGAGAAGCTCTCAGCAATGGTGTTGAAACAGTCGAGTTATGGTGTGGTAGCTTTGGTGATGAAGGTAATGAAGAATCGGTCATCTCCTCAATATCTGAATGAGAAGATGCTGACTTGGGAGATTTTTTTTTACCAAAAGCTTGCTTGAAGGAGCTGCGTAACTGAAAAAAACACCACCACAACAGTGGAGACATCATTAAAGGTGAAAGCAGACAACAAAGCCACCGAGTGAAATCTCTAACATGCAAATAATACAGCCATATGCACATGTATTTTTATTAGGAGTAAAAGAAAATCAAAACAAAAGCTTTTTTTTCCCCCTAAACTATTTAATGAGATTAATATGGTAAATTCAAAATAGGGTTGGATATCAATGCCTCCTATTTTTAAGGCAGCTATTTTATAACAAACGCAAAATTTAGTTCAGTGCAGTGGGTTTTACAGCAATGTTGTAACTTGCAGATCTAACGTAACATGGCTCAGACAAGGTTAATGATGCTGAAAGGGTTAGTCATGTAAATGGGTGGGTTAGCTCTGTATTTCATACTTTAAAGTAGGTCTTCCTTACCTCATTGACCTGCCGGAAGAAGCGCAAGCAAAAGGGAGGAGGAGGGGGAAGGAAAAAAGACAAGTTTTAACAGATAAAGCCAATGACTAGGAAAGCTTTGGATTTCTAAGACAAACATGACCAATAATCAACAAATGCCAACAAAACTTTAAAACCAGAGCCCTACATACTTTAGAAAGGGGTGGTTCAAACACTCATTCGTTTTTGTGCCACTCAGGGGAGACGAGATCCAGATCTCATAACTATTTAAACTATATTTCTCCATTATTTTAAGGAAATCTTTGGCTAATAAACAAGATAATATTTTATTCTTTGCTGGAACGGGTATTTTACCAGCCAAAGACATGGAATCTTCTCTACTTATGTGCGACTATTTGTCCTTTTGAACAAGCCTGCCATTTACGAAACAAGCTGAAAGCTGAATATTAATGTGACTAAACTGCTGTTATCCTGAAAGCTGCAGTTAAAACACTGCTTATCACTATCACAGACATCATGTTGCAAAGAGTCTGGAATATGAGCTGAAAGACTTTTTAATTAGGCTAAGATTTCTGGGGTAAGAAAAGTTGAAATCTTTTGTTTTAGCTGAACGTCAGCTTCATTGTTTCTGCCCATAATGAGAAGAGTTTGGCTGAGTGTCACTGGTAGTAGTGAAATAAGCAATGTGCGAGGCAAACACAACTATCACACTTTCTCAGCTAAAATTTACATGAGCTAAAATGTACATCAGCAAAGTCCTGATTTTGCTTCCTCATTTTACAACGCAGTGCTCATTTTCAACAGAAGACGAACTACGGTCCCGTTTCTCCCACTTTTTTAATCTATTTTTCTTTATAATTTATTCCTCTTTATAGTATTTATCCCTCTTTATGATAAAGAAATACTTCCTTAGCTTCCCTTTAAGATAATCCTGTGTTGAATGAGAAATATAAGATGCTGTAGGATGAGATTTAGTAGATTGCAATAACAAAGAATATAAGCTAAAACATTTTTTTAAAAAATTGTGTGTTTATCTTAACTAAGGCTTAACAATCCCCAAAAATGTATCTCACAGAAACAGAGTGAGTCACTAGCAATTTACAAGCTACAGCAATTTTCCTTGTCTGTAATTAACATATAAATCAGCATGACAAGGATTTGGAGATGACATTGCTTCCATTTAAGCAATAATTTTAGGGGCAGAGAAGAAATACTACTGCTACAAAGGAGCTAGCAACATGTTGAAGTGAAACTACTGGAATAAAAGAACATTTAAATAAAATTCTACTTATGAAACTGTGTCCTATCGTACAGGAGTTTGATAAAGCTTTCTAAGAGGATCACATGCAAACACCAACCAAACTTTCCCCAGCTCAAACAACACTTTGTAGCAGGGCAGATTTATTTGTATACTCAAAAGATCTAAGAAGATTTAAATTCAATGGGAAGGAAGGGGTGGATTGATTTTCCGGCTACATTATAGGAACTAGGGACTTCGATCCAAACTACAAGGTCACTAAGGCAGTTATGGTCTAATCCAACGTGGAGTTTAATAGGATGTACCTTTCCTCCAGTACAGGGCACCTTGTACACAGATGTGTAAGTGATGAGCAAAGAAGGAAAAATGGGAAATGAAAGGTAAGTATTGCAAAAGCTTGTGGAATAAATGTCTATCACAGTACTTTTTTTTAAATGCTTTTTTTTTTTTTCTGTAGAGCTCCATTGTAATGTTCCATACAGAGATCTCAAAGAATGCATAACGTGTTCATTTGAAAGAAGAAAGTACTATAAACCAAGAAGACAAAAAAAAAGTTTAAAAAAATCTCTCATTATTGGGTTGTTTTACTTTAATGACAGACGTGAAGTTTTCCCTAAGGGGCTGGACATCGTATTTTCTTTTAGCCAAAACTGATCTTTGATAGTTATTTCTGCTTTCGGACTAGCCCTTTTGGGCTGCTATGGTAAAATTCATTCCTACGCATAGTCAACACAAGCATATACATCACTTATGACTCAATTAAATCTCCAGAAGGGAGTTTACACAGGATTTAACCAGCACGTAGTCCTTGTGCTGACCTGCTGCATGAAGCGGAGGGAGGAGGAGTTGCACGACTCCATTGCGCTGTGCGTGTTGTAACACTTTTACATAAACCTCACGCAATCCGTTCAAGCACACTCACCCAGTTCTTCCTCTTCTTTTTCTTTGAATCACTTTCTATGTTGCTGCCCACACTGGAGTGGCTGGTAGCGCTGTTGATACTGGAGACGCTGTCCGAGGAGTGCTGCCTTCGGATCCGCAGGTCTGCTGGCTGGGCAGCTCCAGGACCTGGACAGGCAGGGGTTTCAGGGGCAAAGTTATGCAAAAAGTTTCATAAGCTGTGCTCCTCATTCAATTCCAAATAAATATCTGGGAAAATAGAGACATTTGCAAACATACGCACTGATGCAGTTCAAAGTAGTGCTGCCTAGGCCTTGTTTCCCATGAAGAGATTAAAATTTTAGGCACGGATCCTTTTAACCTTTTCACCCTTAATCACTGGGAGTAATTGAAGGGAGATATTGCAAGACTGCATTCAGTCAGAAACAGGAAAATTATGTTCAGGAAATTATAGAAAATGCTGAAGAAAAGGCCATTACACAGCTTGCCATAGCCTACAGAAGGGCTTTCTTTACTCCCATCTCAGGTCAGTATCTCAGAGCAGTGAATTACTAAATGCTGTCAGTAAATTCTGAGAGATCACACAGAAACGTTTTGTTAAAATGCTTTCTCAAACATTTAGCACATCCGTTTTCTTCTATATTGTACTATTTACATAGACATCCATTTAAAAAAAAAACACATTATACCAGGAAAAACAGCAACAAAAAGTAACTAGAGCATGAGACAAAACAGATCTCTGACAAGCCCAGTTGCACCAGATACTACCAAGAGGACTCCTGTCTTATGAGTACTGCAAAGCTGCTAAATGCAGCGCTGGCTTCTCACCTTTGCAGTTGAGCTCAGGGGTGTTGATGACTCCATTAATGGCAGCCTGGGCAGCAGCATTTTGCTTCTTCAGGAGTTCGATAGTCTTCCTTAACTCATTCAGTTCTGAATCCTGGAACACAAAACAACACTGGTGACATTATCCGCTAACATGGATGGTATCTAATGACTCCCAAGGTACCACCTTTTGAGCTGAAGCTGAAGGTATTTGGTACAGCCATTTATAGAATACATGTGTAAAAAGAGATGAAAATGAGATTTGACCTACCTGGAAAAGCACATCCTCACAGACTACAAAATAGCTTGGTTACTGCGATACTCAATTGCGAAAACATACGTGCTCTTTAATACAGAAATAATGTATATTCAGACATACTCTTTAGAAATCTCATGTTATTTATCTTGCGATGATTTGTCACATTATTTCTTTTGGACATGCATGTATGTAGATGCTTTGGGAAGAAATGTATCATAAAAAGATGCAACGCTGAAGGCTAACATCCAAAGCAACCATTTGTAGGAATACCCTGCTTAGCTGTCACGAGGCAAACAAGTATTTTCTACCAAGTTATTATGACATTTTATTACTTCACTATAGAGAACTAAGGCAAATGGTGTAAGTGATTTTTCCACTGCTACTGAAGAGTGAGAGCAACAAAGCTGTGAAGACAGCTTCAGACTTCAGTACTAACAGTGCCCTTCCCCTTGCCCTAAGATCTTCACTAATAATTTGGCCTAAAGCACATGCATTTTTGCAACTGCAAAGTTCAGCTTCCCTCTAAATCTGCCGAAAGCACTGCAGCTGTGACCATCCTGAAAGGCCACCTTGGACCTGCCCGTGTGGGACACACGTAGGTGTGACCATAGCTGGCACAAACACCTCTCTCACTTGCCTTTTGCTCAGCTGTCATGGTCAGGCTCTGCAGCCGGATGGTCATGTTGCCCAGGCTCTGCTCAAAGGCTGCCACCAGGTGAGCCTGAAAAGCAAACGACACCCAAAAGTGAGTATTTGGCTCTCCCCCACCAACAAGACCATTTAGGCAAGTATTTAAGGGTTCTACTGAGCGTGTGCTTTTTGTTTCGTTATTTTTGTTTGTTTTCCTGTATAAGTCATACAGAGAAAATGGGAGAGATTAGGAAAGGTCACATGAGTTCAGTGCACATTGCAAAAATGTCTACGAAGAAATTACCGAGAGGAATTTAATTGTGGAAAATTAGAAGTGCCGAAGGTAACAGATCCACGTGAAAACATTCCCAGGCGACAGCCTGCTCATGTCAAGTGACTGCTGGCAGAAAGCTGAAACCAAGGACTTTGGGGCTATAAACCATGCCCTGCTGAGCGGCAGCTGCCAGCACGCACTTTGGAAAACAGATCTGTCATGAAACGCAGGAAGGAGGGAGAGACAAAATAAACCATGCCCAAACACCTCCTGCTATTAAGGTTTTGAATGGAGACTTCATCTCTGACTTTTTATATGGACCTTTAATAGCAGCTGTAGAGTTGCTTCATGATAGTCTTCAAGCATCTGCATACATAGTTAAGGCAACTCTTGCCGCAAAGCTTTTGGCAAAAGTTTTAAAGCTCTTCCAAACAGTAATTAAAAAAAAAAAAAAAAGGCAGTACTCATAAGTTTAAGGTGGATGCCCTTAAAATTAAAATAAAGTAGAAAGGAAGAAATTTAGTATAAAGCGAAAGGGAAAACAAACACGTGCAAGAGCACAAATCTGTTTTATAGAATTTAAGATTCTCTCGTGATACTACCGGTTTTTGAAAGTCAAGACTTCCATGATCTGTACTAAACTAGATGAGGAATTCAAAAAAAAAAAAAAAAGCTGATAGGAGGAAATCTTATCCTGAGAACATTAAGTGCTTTGTGTCAAGTAAAGAAAGGAGCAGTAGCTTTTTTTTCTTAACACAGAATTGTTATTAAAAACAGTTGAAAAATCATATAACAGAAATGAAAACAAGTAAAAATGTGTAAAGTATCCTACAGCCATGTAAGTGTTTCAATTTAAAGATATTAGAAGGCAATTTAAGTGTTCATTTTAGATGCACAGAGAAGGCTTGAAAATGCACCATCTTTTCTCATAAGCAATGATTGAGTATGTGAAGAAAACAAGAGAGAATTAAATGCTTCTGAAGGCATAGAAAAATTATTCTTTCTAACTGACAAATGCTAGAGACTAAATAAAAAACTTTGTTTCTCTGGAATTAGGTTTAAAAGTTCACAAAAATGTCTGAAGAATTCCTACCCAGGAGAGCTTTTTAAAAAGTGCTTTTTGCAAGCATTTTTAAACTAAGCCGTTAAAATGTTATGACATACTGATGCCCTAAGTTTGCATTAAAAGAAATGCAGACTAGCAATAGCTATTATACTGCTTATGGACCACCAGACTAATAAATCCATAATGAGGCTTTCTTTTCCCCCCATAGTTATTAAGCTACAATCCTACATACGTACAATCTTAAAATCACTACATGACAGTTAATATTTTTAGATTTTAAAGACGTTTATTTACCAGAAAATATAGAAACTCTTTTCTAAAATTCCTAGTCTTCTGAGCATTTAATATAAGGAGTTATGCTTAGCTACCCTTATCCAAGGCAAGTTAGTCAACCCACCTCTCTCTACTGGACAGCAGATAAGACGTCGACAAAGTTAGTAATAACCAAGGCCAGCTTGCATGTGAATCAATAACACAGGCATGACTCAACTACAGTTTTGTTGGATTACACATGATGACCTACAATAACTCTATCAACTAACAGTATTTTATTTTTCTATTTAAAAGACACGCACAAATAACTGTGCAAAAAAGCTCCATGCGGAAACGGATTTTCTCTCAACTTGGGTCTACGCAGAACGGCCCGGCCTTTCACGGAGCCGCTCCAGACTCACTGGCCATCAGCACACAGGCGACTTGTCCTACACAACTGTTCTCACATTCACAGTGAAAACAAACAGGAGCAGCACAATAACACAGGGACATGCAGCTCCCGTTCCCACCAGCCCCTGTGAAAACAAGCAAAGCTGAGACTGTGAGAAAAACTGCAAAAAAATAAGTTAAATCCTCACTACATGTGTTTGAAAATGCAAATATTTATTTAAAGAACAGACTGCAAAGTTTCTGTTGGAGGCGCAGGGAACATCTTTGCAGAAGTAGAAAAAAAAATGCAGGGGAAACAGATTGTGGCCTATAGAAAATAGGTAATTTTACTTTTTAGTTTGAAGGAACTATTTTCACAAATTCTTGCCCCAGATGTACTCAGAATAACATCAAGGCTACAGTGTGTATAAAGGATAACTCAGAAAAGATTTGATACATCAAATAATGATAGGAATTCAAATTGCTCACATTCAAAGCATTAAAAATAAATCTCCTGTAAAGGAAGTGTCATAAAGCATCATCTTTGCAAACGGAATTGATCTGCCTAAAGTTTCTTGGATACAGACCTGGCCCTTTATATGGAAAAAAAGAAGTATATTCTCCAAAGAGAAACTGCTGTCCCAGAACGAGACTGAAACAGAACAGTTAGCAGGACAGTTTTAGAGACATCTCTGCAACAAGCTGGGGCTGATTCATAGGCAAATGAGTGACAGGTCCAGATCAAAGCAGCACAAACAGAATGAATGAAATTTTAGTGAAAGTTAGTTAGAACAAAAAAAAATCTGAAAACATAAGAATTTAATTTTCTATTGTTTTTTCCTCCTGTTCAAAAAGTTTCAACAAGTTCCCGCTGCCGTAATGCTTTCGTTTGATTCTCCATGTCCTGTGGTGCTGGTTTCCCTTTCTGCTCTGCAGGCTGCATGAAGCACCGTGCTGGGATGCCTGCAGCAAACGTGTCGGTGGATTTGCTCCCGAGCCCGTCCTGTGGCAGGAGTCACTGCTCACACAAAAGCTGCCCTTTCCTGCACCGAGTTTGGTATTCCCCCTTTTCCAAGGGCAGAGGGGCAGGAAGGGCCTCTCCGGTCAGCACGTGTTCTCGTGTTTATCCCTTCCCATAAGCTTAGGACACTAGTGTGGTCTGATCTGACAATTATGCAGCTTATTTGGCATATCAGCTTATCTAGCAACTATGTAGCTTATTTATTCTAGAACTGTGTGTTTTTCTAGCAAGCTTCTGCTTTTCAGATATCTGCTCTCTGTGACTACAGCCCAGAAAATATAAACAAACTCGCTCAGGTTCATCTGTAGAGTTGCCTCAACACCTTCTGGCTTCAAAAATCTTTTTCTCCGAGCGTCATCTAAAAAATTTAGTATCTTACGTTACTTCCTTATCAAATTCACATTTCTCATAGGAAACAAGCAGGACTATCGACTATGCTGGCAAAAATTAGATACGTTCATTCTTCAAACATAACTGCAAATGAGTTCTCAGTGTACTTTGTTCGTGACTCTCTCAAGATCTAAAGATGACTTACATATGTATAAAGCCAAGTGAATTCAGTATGTAAATAAATGCATAAGTCAGGACAGAGTAGATTAATTTTGGAAGGGTCCCAAATGCATGTAGTTTTATTTTTAGACACAGAGGCAGCATGAAATGAATGTTATACACGTGAAACCTTTTTTGTCACCTAGAGAAAATGGGGTGGTAACTGGTGCAACAAAAGCATTCCCTGCAAGCGTTTGTTCTCCAAATTGTACTCACATTGGCGGTCAACTGAGTTGTCAGAGCAGACACTTTTTCTTGGGATGCATCCAACTCTCTTCGTAGCTTGCGAATCTATATATTGTAAAAGATAATTCTCCATATTAAGGTGCAGTAAAGTTAAGATACCAAGACACAAAACACAAAGTGTCTTAACAGAATATTTATGTGTGTGATAAAAAGTGTGCTCTTACCTCCGACTGGCACTTCTCTTCAGGCTGTAAAATAAGAACAGGGAAACACATGAGGACATGAGGCCACACTGTCTGTGCAAGGACACGGGGCAGGCGGCCCCTTGTGGCTCTCATAGCTATGAGGAAAGCCCAGGGGATGGCTCTGTGCCCCATCCTCCCAGCACGTTACCGGTTTGGGCTTGTGGCAAGGTTCATGGGTGGCAGCATTTCCCATCAGCTGTTGTCACAGGCCGTGTTATACGTATAGCCTGGCTATAATGAAGCAAGCGTGTGAAATAATACACTGTGTGGGCCTGAGGGGCTGGCCACGTGGTAAGCCTGGAGTTGCATCCCACTTGCATAACAATTTGAAATTGAAGGCTCTCTTCAATTAACACATATTCCAGAAGTTAATTATTATGCATTGTTTGCTTTCAAAAAAGGTTTGCTTGAAGAACACCCCAAAATCGGGATTGCAGCTTGCCAGAAACACACAGCTTTGGATACCAAGAGCATGGAACCACAGGGTTTAAACACTGAACACCTGTGTGCAGGCTTGTGTGCACTGGGACCCGCTCTGGCCCCAGGTCACTGCACTTACACCACGTCTAGCCAGGTAAAAGCTACACGAGGAACGGCGTACGTGCCACAGCCTCATCTCCCTGTTACAGCCCAAATATATTCTTAATTTAATGAGTGTTCTATGTTACACTTTCTAAATGGAAAATCCTTCATGAGACTACTGAAAGAAAATAAGCAAATGCAATGCAGTTCTAAAAATTCTATTTCTGAACTCCAGTAAACCTTATCTCAGGATCAGATAGCCTAAGCGAATACATGCTTCCGGAGAAAATATTACTGCTGTAGTGAACAGTAATGGTTTCTTTACAATTCTTAAGAACTATGCTGTTAAAAAAAGCTATTTAAACTAAGCAAATTATTAATATATGTCTGGAATTGCTTTATTCAGCAAACTGGAAAGTCGAATCCCCTCATATCCACTAAGGTCCTTTGCAGCAAAACACACAGTAAAATGCTGACTCAAAAAACAAACATGCAGATGCAGCTAAATAACCACAACTTTTTAAAGATGATAAACACTTCTCTAAGAGCGAGAATAGTGTTTTTCTCCTCCTTGGAGGACAAGGGTAACGTGCGCAACAAGACCAGTCAATTCAATGGTCTGATAAATAAACCCAGCTTGTTCATTTCATGATACTCACTGTGGAATAAATTGAAGATGTGCTGGACACCAGAGAGAGAGAGGAGCCATGCACTAATGGAAAGAAATAAACCAAATATAAATACAACAGGTGGTCTCATGAACATGTCATCCATCAGTCGATTGAGGAAATATTTTCTTCATCTATCACAAGCTTAATTACATTATTGTCCTCATAATGCTCAATGTCAAGAGAATACGGCCAGCTAACAATGTGCTCCTACTTCTTCTTTAGGTTTAGATCAGATTTCCAGGGCCTTTTTGATGGTTTTCTTTCTAAGGAGCCCAACCAGCTCCAGGATCTGATCGGGCACTCGAGAAGGGGGCTGAGCACACAAGTCCAATGTCTCATTTCAGGGCTCTAGATCTGGGGCTCCCCCTGGAATCAAAGGTACCTCTGTGCTGACTACAGGGGTGTCAATGCTCTGGATGCTTCCCCTCCGTGCAGCTTTGGGCTTTTTTAAAGTAATAGCATTTCATTAGCAAGACAAAGTTCTTTTTCCCCTACGAAACTGACCTAAGTGAAGAGAGCTACAAAAGCTTTTCTGGAGAGGAATCAAGTTCAAATAGCTTTTGCATTTAAACATACATTAAGTGCCTTTCACTTAATGTGATTCTTCAGGTTCTTACCATCACCCCATTAAGTGAAAGGCACTTAATGTATGTGATTCTTCGGGTTCTTACCATCACCTCGACGTTAGCATTTACATAATACATCACATCATTTTCTTTTTGATTGTGTTGTTAAAAAAACAACTACCTGAAGCTATTATTTCCGTTAATGAAACATGCAAAATTATCTTTCCTTTTATTTTTAGAAGCAAAATACTTCTACTGTAGCTTTCATTCCAAGTAGATGCATTTCATACAAATCATACAAAATCATGTTAATCTCTTTTACTTCCATCTAAACACTGCAGCCCCCCCAAAAAAGTTTAGAAAAGCTGCCATTTTGCTCTGATTACCTACTGAAATTCTACATTCATAATAACTGGGTTCTGCTTTCCCATTGACATTATATCCTAAGGCAAGGCTGGAAAGAGAAGCAAACAGAGTCTAAGTTGGCTTCTGGAGGAATTTAAGACAATTTTAAAAACCCACAATAAAGAAAGTCACACCCATGAGCTTTTCTGGTTTGGTAATATTTTCAATTAAAATAATGCTTATAGTTAGATGTTAGGACTGCAAACAGAACACAGAAATACCCAGGACGAGTCAGACCTAAGGTCTGCCCAGCCGCCTGCTCCACCTCGTGCAGAGCTGCAGCAAACGCCCAGGGAAGGGGCTGCCAACACAAGGCAGATCCTCAAGGATCTTCCCCCTGGTTCATCTCTGCATCTCCGGGGAATCGACAGGGATGGAAATTCCTGAGATGGAAGTTACACTCAGACTATTTTCCGTAGTCACCGTGACCCATCTGCCACTAACTTGCATTAATTTCGAGTCCACTGTCACTTTCTGTCTGCAAACCCAAAGGACTTCTCCAGCTAAAAGCAGCACTTCTTGGTAGTTTTTTAGACCTACAGCCACATGAGGAGTTCCTTGTGTGTCTCTTCATATATGTGATACGTGAATAACAATCCTCTTGGGATGCACCAAATTACATATTATCAGCTCCTTCGGCTATCATTTTTCTAAGCCAAAGATTCCTAATCTATTCAAACTCTGTTCATACTATGGGTGTTCTGCTCGTAAGGCCTCCTTGCCACTTTTCTTTGCACCTGTACTGTATCCTTAGAATAAGCCAAGTGAAAAGGGGAAAGAACATGCAGCTCTGCTTGGGAAGCAGACGCCTCCCTAGTAAAACACCACAACTGCATCATTTGATGTTGAACATAATTTGAGACTTCTGGATTCAAGGACAACCAAGGAGTTAATATTTTTGTGCAATTTCTTTTTAAAGTATCTGCAGATGGCTACTGTAAGGCTATTTAATTAGGAGCCTGAAGGCAGCTATGCTCTTGATGTGATTCCTGTGCTCTGAAGCTAACATGCATCTGCACGTACACTGCAAACCCAAATTGTTTTGAAGCTGTTATTTTAAAGCACTATAACTGTGCAGGCAGCCATGTATTATTTTAATGTTAGGAAAAAACAGTGCAGTCCTGATGGGTTGTCCAAACATTAGGGAAAAAAAAAAAAAAAACACCGAGATTTTGGTCGATAACATGGAAGGGAATGAAAAATATCAATTAAATCTTCAAAATAATTTATTTCATTTCCATTTCTCAAGAAAGTTTAAGTATCAGCGGGAAGGCAGCAGCAGCACTGCTCTTGGGGAAGACTTTCTCCCCTGGAAGCAGGAGACCTGGGTAGCGAAGAGAATAGCTAATATTAGGTCATGCTTTTCTCTGGAGCTCTTCGTACTTGGGAGGCTGCTTTTGCAGGCATCTCCCCAGGCCTGAAACCCTTTGCAGGGGAAAAAAAAAAAAATCAGAATCAGAAAGAAAGAATCAGAAAGGTTTCCATCTAAATGTCGCCTTCTAAGAAAATATGACAGTGCATCATGGAGACAAAAGCAAAAAAATAAGGTCTGTTACAAATAAAATCCTGGCCCTGCTGAAGTTAATGAGAATCAAATATCTGCTAATGCTATGTGCCAAGAAAAATCCAGAGGTAGGTTGGTAAGCATTATTTAAGACAGCGATTCAGACTCTGTGGACACTACCTGGTTGGTTTCCCCCCTCTACACATACCCAGTGAATTCAGCCACCAACCACAAGCTGAATTTCTGCCATCTTTTGCCATCTGCTCTCGCAGGACGCTCGCTTTGTGAGGGTGAATAAGGTCCATGGGTTTGAAGGCGCAGGAAAACTCCCCTTCACGTTCAGCACCACGAAACAAGCAGGAGCTACAGAGCTGCCACCGCCCTCAGGAAGGCGACAGCACTGACGGACCCTCCCGTTAATCCGGAGGTGAAAACGGAGACTGCACAACAGCTCTCAGCCCATCTGATAAAATATCATTATTCTTCTAGGTGCCAAAAATTCAGGAACATCTGAACTGGACTACTGCATCAGCACGTTCGCTGCAGGGTCAAATTCCTTCCTCGTATAGGAGCAGTATTTTTCCACTGGCTTCAGGTTCATGACTTTGGTAGGGTGCTCTCAGATGTAATTTTTTGGTTTAAAAAGGTGGATGAGCAGTGCTTTGTAGAACATTTGGCCTGGAAAACACTTTCCTTTTTCTTTTATTTTTTAAAATGATTCCTCTCACGAATGAGTAACAAAGCAAAACAAAACAAGTTCTTCTGAACTGGTCTCTGTCCGATAAAAAAAATTCTGAATAATAAAATATAGTCTACCCTCCCATAATGCAAAAGAGTTTAGCTGCAATATTATGCATGTTTACAATAACAAAATAACAAGGCTACATGTTTTTTGAGGATGTCTTAGGTAGCAGTTGAAGTTTTGCTATGGTAGCTCTTTCAAATCATCTAAATAAAATAATGAAGTGATTTAAATTCACACATGGATTATATGAAAGGACTCTTTAGTAACAGGAGGACTACTCATCACTGTGGCATTAAACTGACCTCCTCAGTCACTCCTTGACTGTTTGTGATCATGCAGCTTTCTGTGAGCATGGCACAAAAAAAGGTCAGTTCCTGCAAGGACAGAGTTTTCAGCCCTGCAGGGTTATTTAATCATTTTCAACTCCTAATGAAGATCTTCAGCTACGAGCCTCTAAAATACAATTAAATCCAACAGAGTTAGACTGGCTGAATTCAATACAGAATTAGCCTGGAATCTTCGTGAAGCTGCATCCGATACGGTGGGTTCCCCAACTCACACTGGCTTTTGCTCACCAGAGAACTGAGCGACCCCCACTGATAAAGTACCTGAGATCCAGCCAGCCTCCCATCCTTGCCAAAATGCAGATTTAATGCCATCCCCTAGTGACAGAGCTAATGGCATCACCTTCCTACGAACCATTCCCAGGGCTCACCCTGTCCTTTACTTCCAAAGTGTCTTATCATCTGTTTTGCGACACGTAACCATATGGGATTTTAACATACACTCTTTGCCCAGGCAGGCTGAACACTCCTGCTACGCTGTAAGGTTGCTAGCTACGTAGCAATCAAGTTAGTTAAACACTTACTAAACACTAAAACTCCACTTAAACGCTTGCTTTGGTCTGTCCAGGAGGACCACTGAACACACCAAGCATCATCAGAGGGAAAATGACTATGGCTACAGGTCTATGCAACCCTGAGAAAACCACGCTCTCTAAAATGACCCCTACAGTGAATTAAAAAGCAGTAAATTAGCACCCGGTCTGACTGATCATTGCAAGCACTTCCACAGAGGCGACCAACCTTCTTCAAAGCCATCCCGGAAGGAGCCGGAGCGGCTCATTGTCCTGCTTTTCTCATCCAGGGACATGGAGCTGTTCCTGAAGCGGGTGTCACCGTAGGGGTCGTAGGGACCGTCGGCGTTGGAAAGGCTGTGGGTCCGCAGCATGGTGGGGTTGGACAAGCTCATCTGGGCGGCTGTCGTTGGGCTTGCTGCATCGTGACGAATAAACAAATCGTGACACCATAAACTCTCAGGTCTGTTTTTTGCCCAACTACCAAAAAAGACTTTTTTTTTCTCTACAAGTTTTTGCTATCTTCCCATCCAGACTTCATTTTATTTCTAAATTTAAGGGGTTCATGTAAGAGGTATGTAAATCAAGCTAATGAATATGAAAACACAAGTAAATAAGGTCAGTTTAAATAGTGGGTGGTAAGCCTGTGCTTCTGTAGACAAGCTCAATGAACTCAATAACACCTTGTAGGCATAAGTTAATTAACCCTCATTTCATTTGCCACAGTTCTTCCTCAAAAAGAGTCAAACACCCAAAGGAATTTAATCTTTTGTCTACATAGACCAAGCCCCATGAAATATCCGCTTTAAAGTTGTCACACTCCAGGAAAGTGACATTTTATGTGTACTTAAGTCACAAATTTTAAGTTTAGTTTTCTAGTAGTTTTGTATTTCAGAAGAATATTTCAGAATTTTCTTGACACAATGAAGTTCTAAGAAGTATGAGTAGTTCTCAGGTTAAAAGACATGCTCCAAATACTAATTTTGCCTTAACAGCCAATACTTTTCCATTCAATAACCTTTCACTCCAGTGCCATACATTTTTAAAAAACTTTTGTGTTAGATTATATCCAATGCTTCCCAAGAATTGCATTTATGGAAATAACTGATTCATTGAAAAATTGCTGTTTACCCGACTGGTTTCCTTTTCTTTATATTGTCCTTGCCTGCTTCTAAACACTCCATCAACTCCATACAGAATTCTGCTGAAAATTCTGAATTTTGCCTCCCAATCTGAACTTGATTTCTCTAGGCATATGATGGGTCACTAATTAACTTTTCTTTGCAGATTTACTTCTTTTCATGTAGAAAATACAGTAATTCTTTCTAATGGTGCTCTGCTCAGCTTTCATATCAACAGTTGCTATTAAGGCGGCAACTTTTGACCTCAATATCTCCAAACTCTTATATGGAGAATACAGTTGAAGTATCTTTTTTTTTTTTTTCCGTGTTACTTTGCTTGAGGCCAAATAGCTTTTAAAACACATTAATGTCACTGCTCTTCAATATGCCCTATAAAGAGTTAACCTTCTGAGCCTAAAACAACAATAACTTTTTGTCTGACTATCAAAGCACTTTCATGAGCTTGACAGTTTGTTAGCTGTTGGCAAAGTAATGACACTGTCTGTATATTCAGCTGAAATTTTGCTAAGTGTTCATATATTTAAAGCTGTTTATTTAATCTTTATATTTTCAGCACACTCACGGAGGCTCTACATGGAGGCTCTAAAATGTCACTGCTGCAGTTCAAAACTGCACTAGAAATAGGTGACCATGTGGGTTGTTGCTAATCCATAGCGAGTTCACAAATATAGGCTTAACTATTCTGCATAATGTTTTTTTTATCTTTGTAGAATAGATGGACTTTTCAAAGCCAAAAAGAGACTGAAGAAAATTGTTCAACATGATTTACAAATGTCCCCTATAGACTATGCATGTTGTTAGGATCCATCTTCATATTTAAGCACATTGCAAGACACCAAAATAATACCAGGGACAAGCACATATTTTTTATAACTGGATCTTTTTACAAGGTTACCCAGAGGGTACACTGACTGCTTAACTTACAAAAAAAAGGAGCTGTGAAATTACAGACGGACCTCAGTGTCTACAAGACTCAGTACCTTAGCAGACTTTCACCTTGCAAAAAAATTACTGCACATTTCACGTTAGAATACTTATTCCTTATGCTAAAGGTTTTGAGTGTTTCCGCTTGAATGTGAAATTACCAATCAATGAAAAATGAGACTTCTGCTTCTTTCAAAATGAAAGCATACATTTAAAAAATCCCTTACTTTTACCAACATAATTAAGTGAAAAAAATGCCATTTCTAGCTTAAAATTCCCCTGTTTTTTGTATCATTATTTCAGATAGAGCTTTGTCTGATTTTTGAACAAGCCACCTGAAAAATATATATAAGACTAGAATATCTTAGAAGGATTAATCTGGCATATGTACTACAAAATATGCATGAATTTTAAGGCAGTATTACTAAGCAGGTAGGCAAGGCAGCATTTTAATTCCTTTAAATATAGCAATGTGTGATATCAACAAATAGCTCTACTGAATAGCTCACATTTTATATAAAAAGGTATGTGATTACTCATAGAAAAGAGGCACTGCAAGAATGTGACCTTTGGGCACCGGAGATAACAGCGCTGATTAGTCGCACTCACTTCAAGGAAAAGTATTTCCTGAGGTTCAAGGTGGTACTTGGAGCTACTGGAAGAGTCTTCTATTGGGTAACACACTGCAAGGCACAACCTCCAGCTGTGATTATCTGAGGAGATAAGTACTCACCAAGCTGGGAGAAGTTAAACCTGGTTCCAGAGGGTGACGTTATGCTGGAGCCAGATGAAAATGGAGAGTTGCCAGCAGTATCCTGAAGGCCTCCTGCCGAGTGCGACCGTAGCCATTCCTTTGCATCGTCCTGATTCCGAAGTTGGGAGGAAGGAGCATACCTGCAAAAACATCTCTTTTCAGAATGAACCTTGATATTTATTAAAAAATGAGACAAAACAAAAAGGCACAAGACTTGGGGAGAGGAAAAGAAGGAGAAGACAGAAAAACTCGCATACAAAATTTAAGGATTAAGATGATACAAACAATACATTTGCGAACAAAGGAGCTTTTCCCAAGCCCAAGTTATTTTCTTTGGGTTTGGAAAAAATAACTCCTGTCCTATGATTTCAGCAGTAAATCAGCTAGCAGGAAACAAAAAGTTACAGATGGAAGTAGTGCAGTGCAGTCGTGTGAAAGTGCAGCCTGTGTGTATACATACGTATGTGCAACTGAAAAATGAAGTGACGACTTGGAAAACCTTTCCTTAGGTTATGCCAAAATTGTATCATTATTTTAGTATCTTGGTCCTTCTCAAAGCTTAGCTGGCCTTTTGACATATTAAAATTAAATTTAAGTCAATTAAGCCATTATCAGATTAAGTTGTGCCACAATAACTCGTATTACGGAGACTTTAACACAGAAGTCTTTGCAAGTGCATCCCATGTGGTTCAAGACAGACAGCATTGACACGGGGAGCACCAGGGAAGCACAAGGGAAGTGTCTGTATCTGCACCACACTGTGCTGGCTGGTTTGGAGCCACATTTATGGGTCACCAAGCTCTACTTCCACAGCTCAAACAACTGGAGCACAGTAGATACTATCTATTTCATTGATTAGATTCCATTTGACTGAATACTGTAAAGAAAGATACAATTTATTAGGACTATTTTAAACAAAGGTGAGAACTACAATGATCAAACACTGCAAAAACTCAAGCTACTTAAAAAAAAATTAAAAAATTCACTCTTATGTCTCATAACTCATGCAACAGGCTCTGCCTGAAGCCCATCTGCATCCCTCAAACTTTGCACCCATATATCAGTTTTATGAAGAAAGGGGCTATAAACAGTCATTTTGCTTTAACACACTAAAATATTTTTTTCCAGTATTCATACCTACCTCTTCAGCACTCAAATGTTTCGGTCTTAAAAGAGAGTCTTGATTTATTAGAGACACACTTGACAACCACAGAAGCATCTTAAACCAAAATTCCATTTTAAGAAATGCTTTTAGCACTCAGCTTCATGTGATAGAGCTGCTGGGAAGAATAACACGTATAGTACAGAATAAACCGCAGCTGCAATTTCAAGGCTTCAGCTCAGTGATCCTAAAAGCAGCACTAGCAATTCTGAAGTTGCAATTTTCTAAGTTGTCTGAGACATTTCGTGTCAATTTGGTGACACTTAAAGCATTTAACTAGTAGACCTGATGTTTGTAATCTTGTTGGATTGCTTGTATCAATGGACAAACCCTTTTCAGTGCAACTTTTTAATATACTAAAAATCACAACCTTACACAAACACAAAACTAGACATTTGCCAGATTTCTGAGAGTTTTGGGATTCTTTGTTTTGTTGTATTCTTGAAAGGCTAAAAAATATCCCTAGGGATCTACATACACATATTCTGGAGCAAATATCATTTTAACCCCAGCACGTCCAGTCTCATCATAAAAGGTTCAGCACGATATTGCAAATCTTTTCTATATCAACATCAAGATTCCTGGGGCTGCCCTGTGAAAACGATTTCACGTCATTTCACACAAGAGCCACAAAAGCTGCAAAACTATTGCTTCCAATGGATTACGAGATGCTTTTCAGCAAAGCAGCCAGCAAAGTCACAGATCTTGCTCAAGCGGACAAGCCACTGGATGGAAAAAAAAGCACAGCGGTAAATGGCCTCCTTTGAGGATTACAGAAAAAAGAGAAAGAAATAGAGAAAGAAAGCAGGAAACAAAGAAACAGACTTTTTTCCACCTCTTGCTATCACCAACAGGCAGGACAGAAACACAAAGCAAACTCCAAAGCCACAACAAAAGCTGTTACACCGCGTGGAAACACCGATACCTGAGTCCCTTCCTGGGCAAAGTATTCCTATCAAGGTGTGGGTCGCTGCAGAAAAGTTAAAAGAAAAGAACTTCAGAGAAGGGCAAAAGGGAAGGAATAAGAGCAGGCTGAAGCACAAACATCCACAGCCCCCTCTCAGAGGCCTTTCCTCAACGAACATGCAACAACCTCCTCGGCCACAGGTGATTTTCATGATCATGCAGCTGATGAGACCATGCCAATGAACCCCCTCTGCTCACAAAGCATTGGCTGTTTCACCTATCCACAACCAACGAAAATGGCTCTTCAGACAAAAACACCGTGCGTCAAACGAATGCTTAAAAACATGTATTTCAGCAGGCATGAGGGGGAACATTTGTGAAAATGGCCAAGACTTCCCAAGCCAATATTGCCTTCCTGGTGGGTTTTTGGTTTTTTTTCAGCAGCCTCCACTTAGGGAGTGCAGATAGTTTTTGTCCTGTCTTATGTTGCAGTTGCATACCAGTAACTAAGCACAGCCTGTTTCGATTTCCCCTTTTTACCTTAAATCCCATTTTCAAAGTAAAATGCATCTATTAGTCTTCCAAGAACCCAATATTTCACAGTATGTGATTTTATACTTGATGAACTTGTAACTGAACGGAGTTTGTTAATTTGTTTTTTAAAGGAAAATGCACCCGCTTAAAATATTAATTTATTGACAACCCCTGGAGCTAAACTACAGCTGATGCCCAGCGCAGCAGCGGCTAAACTGCAAGAGGGAGCAAAAGCGAGCTGGAATGGTTGGATTCAGGCCGCCTTTCTCCAACTTTTGCATTCATTTTTACAAGGATGGATATGCACAAGTCTCTGCAGGACACTCATGAACCAAGCTGGAGCAAGAGACTGACAACACTGAACGACACCGGGACTTGATGACAAAAGAGACAGGCTGCAACGCAGCAGAAGGGAAGCAGCATGCCAGAGGAATGCTGAAATGCTAGTGAGAGTTTGCATTGGTAGAAAAAAAAAGGCAAGATTTTCAAAAGCCTTTGGCAAAAAAGAAAAAAAGACAAAGAAAAGCACAAATCCACAAAATGCTCCCCATAGCAACAGCAAACCCCCTGACAGCTCTGCCATGTGCAGGTCTCCGGATTTCAGCGGATAAAGGAGGGGTTTGCGTGGACTCTCACTGGCATGTCTCTGTGTCAGGTCACACCTGAGCAACACACACAGCACAGGACTCAACTGAGCACAGCGTTTCACAAAACAGTTTGCTTCGCTCAGATGGGCAACAAAAGCTACAGCCCTCGTGCATCTCCTGTCCTGAGACAGCGTTACCTGTCCTGTCTCCTGGGCAAAGTATTTCTGCAGAACTTGGGACTAGCCGCAGGGGAAGAAAGAGGGCTGAAAGAATCAGTCCGGGAAGACAGACAACAAGAGAAAGAATATTAGAATGAAGAGAGCAGAGAACAGAAAGGAGTTGTTGTTTAAAAAAAAAAAAAAAAGAGAGAGAGAGAAAGAGAGGAAAAAAAGCCAAAACTGTCAGAACATCATTTTCAGTAGTAATTTCCTTTCATAAAGGGGCAAGAACAAAACTCAGCCACCCACAGGTTAGATTCTCACTTTACCAAATGTTATAAACACAGAGTTTAATAAGAAATAGTTGAGGCTCAAATTAAAAGTGTAACAATGATTTTTTAAAAATTCTGCAGTTGGATCAACTAACTGTTGATATGCAATGCAAATTCAAAAATCAGGCATAATACTATAGTAAAAAAACAAACAAACAAACAAAAAGCAGTTATCACACTGGCTACTGCAGCAAACAAAAAGTCTCACCTGAAGCAATGCTCTGGTGAACAATGTTCTCTTGTTCTGAACTAGGCTCCTTGCCTAAAATGCTTTCTTTGTTCGTTCTAGCAATATCATCCAATATTATCTTGTCAGAACGATCATTTCAAGTGCAACTGCAGTGCCAGATAGTGCCAGAACGCCATTTCTCCCGAGATACAAGCAAGCTTACAGCAACAAGAGGAAAAAACCCAACTAACCTTTCAGACAGGGTAGTCTTAACACTGTTGGTTCGGACAAAGGGGGCCAAGGAATCATCTCTGGAAGGCGGGATGAGGCTGGTGGAGGAGGTATGGCTCGGCCCACCTCCGCTGCTCAGCGAGATGTCGATGGACTCGCAGCTGGTGTGGAGGCTGCTCACCGACTGGTACCCGAGGCCGTCCTTGCTGACGGCAGACGAGCTGCTCGCGTTGGTGCCCCACGTCAGGCTGTTGGAAGGAGCCGAATGCGCCGAGCTGGGGCTGGAAGCCAGCGGAGACGGGTTCATGTCCGTGTTTTTGCTGTACAGGGGGCTGCTTCCCCCGCTGCTCAGCACCCCGCTGCCGGAGGGTGAATCCAGGTTGCCCTGTTGGTTCATAGTGGCGTGAGGATTGGAGATGACAACTGAATTTTTCATATTTTCCGCTGTTGTGATGGGAACTTGTTTACTAGGCTTTCCACCAAAAAGTCTGTAAAAAGGACAACAGGAAAAAATACATAAAATGGAATATTAAATGACAAATGCAAAGATACTTTATACCTAGAGCACTTATCATCTTAGCCTCAGAAAACCAGAATTAAGAAAACAATCTTAGATTGGACATAGACTACAGATTTATGAATCCTCTTGTGTTCACTCTGCTTCCTGTCAAGTTCAGAATCAATGACTGTAACTTCAAATCTACCTTAGACATTTTCCTCTCTGAATCATCACATAACACCTTCACGAACCAAAAACACAGCTTCACCAAACTAAAATGGCATCATGTAGTGTTCTGATCCTCAATGAGGAAAGATACTGGGGAAACAGGGCACTGATTTACCTGAAGAACGGCACCTTAGAGGCTAGGAGCTGGTTGTCCAGGTCAATTCTATACAAACCTATACACTGAACGCTCTGCACTGAAGCAGCACCTGGGGGGATGTAACAGTAAAAATATTTACTGATATCGAGCGTTGGCTTGTCTCATTTTGGAAGCTAAACTGGCTGAAAACTAACTTCTTGGGTGAGGACTACATTTGATCTGGTGCAACACCTTGAGCCAGCTGAGTAAACACCAGCTGAGGGCCTGAAGCAGTGCAAAGGAGGGGATATAAAACCTCGCCTGAGAAGGATGCCTGCAGTTGCTTGGTGTGAACCTGCTGTTTCCGTATCGGCAGTATATAGTACTAGGAACGAAATCTTTCAAAGCCAGTGGATACGTATGCAGGGGAGTTTTCTCTTCTCTTGAGTTTGCACAAACTGTCTGCACCGCTCAGGTATTTGAGGTCTGCCCAGGACTTCCCGAAAACACAGGCTGTGTAGAATAACTCATCTCTTTATAACGTATACAGAGTCCATGGATGTTCAAACACCAGGTTTACGGCACATGCGCTCTCTGCAGCTTCAACGGACATGTGCAACGTCTGGGATATCTCCACGGGCTTCCTGTCATCGTATTCCTGCCACAAAGCCCTGGAACAACGCTTGGCTCAGCCTGAGATGCTCGCCTGCACCTATCTCATACCCTGCACAGCTCCAAGGACTACGTCCTGATCCCTTCGCAAGGCAGCACAGACCTGGTCAACCTGATTCACCTGGACTCAACCCCACTGCCGAGGACACTCCAACTTCCCCAAGCAAAAGGCTCCACAGGATAAAACCGCTTCTTGCAGGGACTGAGCGGCTAAGGCAGACTTGAGTCAATGTTTCTAGAGCGAATACAAAGGAAAATATCAAACCGTCCTGGTATGACACAGGGTCTTGAGCAGCAATAGCATCGTGCAGTATTCATACTCCCGTGCCATAGCATGCCACCTCTTCAGCTGTACTGGGGACCACAACTCAGAAATAAAATCATGGAGCTTTAAGGAAAAAAAAACCCAAACCATAAAGGGGCTGAGGAGCACTGCTTCCAGCTCAGGGAAAAGCCAGTCCAGCAAGCCAGGCACATCAACAAGGAGGGGATCCCTGGGAGGACAAGCTCCACAAGGAAGGACACGTTATCTCCTCTGCCACTTCTGAAGGAAACGTGTTTGAGCTGGCTCTTGGGCCAGGCACGTCCCCTTCCCCGCACTGAGGGAAAAGGGGTGTCCCATGTAGTGCAATTGGGGCTAATTTAATAATAAAACATGCCAAGACAGTGTCACTTAAGGAAAAAGCCAAACGCATATTAGTATAAAGGAAATATTGAGAGCGGAGAGAGCGATGACTCTCACAGTATGTTTGCAAACTAATGGTTAAATGTTACCATTTCTTAAGCATAGATTCCAATTTAATATAAAACAATTACATGACAAATAGGTAATTAATACGAAGTGCACAACTTGGACCTAAGTATGAAAATGAAGCCTTAATTGACATTCTAGATATCAGTAATAAACAGACAATACCAAATTCAACTCTGATGCATTTCCATACATGACTATTCATTTAGACAGTCTGGATTTATTCAAGAATTAAATAGTAAATCAAAAGAGGGATAGTTAAAATTAGGTCCCAAAAATCCCTAGTAATAAGAACCCCATGTGCCTGCTGTTCTCCCAGTGTCTTCTTTTAAAAGGCTTATTTCTAATGTCAATCCATTGTCCATTCTAGACAATTCTCATGTCATATTTCAATTCCACGGCTAGCAACATAGTTTTCCAGTAATTAAAGGAAATAATCAATCGGGCTTATAAGCATGTGCTTGAGGCGTGCAGCACTGAAAATTTGCATTTGCCATGGGATATGCTGTAGAAATGAAAGGCCTGCTTGAGGCTTTTATTTTAAGCAGTCATCGATGAAAATTAAGTGTTTTGAAAGCAAGGCCTTATCTAACAACGACAAGCAATAAAACACAGGAAATTTCTCGAACTGTCCTCTCAAGGGCTCTTCCAATGAAACCGCTCACCCCCGAAGGCCCAGCCGGGCGCGAGGGGCGTGCCGCCGGGCCCGCCGCGCGCGCAGCGGGGCCTTGGATGCAACGGGGCTGGAAGCAGGATGGCGCAGCGCAGCCGTATGGGTGCCGAGACACGATGGAATGCAAAACACTGCAGCTTGGAACAGACACGTTGCTCGGAATGCCAAATCAAAATGGAAAATAACATTAACGGAACCTTGCGCCGGTATCGGTGTTCTGATGCACGCTGCATCACACGGTAACTCCTGCATTGCTCAACTCAGCATTAGCGTTAAAATCCCACGTGGGCTGGAAGGGGAGCAATGGAAGTCAGATAGACTTTTTGTTGAAAAAAACTGTTTAAGTTAGAAAATTCACCCCCGTCAGAAACTTTACTCGGGGCCCTTCTACATAGCTGAATAACCTGATGTTACGTGTCTCACAAGGCACTGGGCTAACCCACACAACTGTGATATCTGTTGCGGTCAGGAATGTGGATCTAAGCATATCAGATCAAATTATGCTGTCATTATAACGAAAATCTGAAAAAAATCTGCTGTTGTCAACTTGTAATTTGAGTCACCGCTGGAGTACATCCAGGTTTGCTATATATTTTTCGGTGAAAGAATTTGTCCATTAACACTATTGCAAGAAAATCCTTATTTCTGTGCTATCTCAGTATGGATAATGCTCTCACGTATGATTTTTGTAACGAACGAAGCTCATCATGAATGACTAATTTTCTACCAAACTTCTTTTTTTTTTTTTTTTCCCCAAAAAAGTTAAATGCTTGCTGCTGCCTTGTAGTAAACTGAGTACTTACAACACTGGCCAACCTGTTTATGTGAAATTAAGTTTAAAGACCAAGCCCTTGCCGGAGGAGCCCAAATCGTAAGCGTTGCACAAAGCACAGCCAGGCCTGGCTGGCAGCGCGCTGCTCATCCAGCTCCAACTCACACCATTCCGCAATCCACGAATTTGTTGCCTACCTGCGCAAAGTGGGAGAGGCCACATCGGGGTACTTGGCTCCTTGCTGGTGGGTACTTTGGGCTCCGCTAGAAGCAGTCTGGGACGCAGGGTTCACTTTAACAGAATTACATGAGGCCACGCTTTCGTTGTCGGACGAAATCCCTTTCTCTTTATCAGTCTGATTGACTAATCCTGGCAGAGAGTTTCCAAGCATTACCTTGGCTGGCTCTCTCATTTTAGGGACAGGCAACCCGGCTGACTTGCTGCTTATGTTGGAGTCTATGCTACTTGTGCTAGATCTATTCCCAGCTCCACTTCTGCTACCGGATTTACTGGGCCGGGGCAAGCTACGGTACTGAAGGTTAGTGCGGGCGCTAAGCGCTAAGTAGCCATCGTCCTGGTTCTGAGAGCCATCGACACTAGTCTTCCGACCAGCGGTCCTACCCACGAGTCCAGATGACTTTGGGATTTTTCCCAGGGTAGCTGATCTACTGGTGATAGTTGCCCCACTGGCAGTGATTATAGTCATGCCTATAGCTGACCCGCTCTGTTTCTTAAATCCAAATGTATTAGCATTAGCAGCAGCTGTTCTAGAGTTACTTGTGGGAAGCTTTTTGGATTCATCACCACTGCTGCGTCCTGCATCTGATGGGGAACGTTTAACATGTCCAGCTTTAGGAGACAGTCTACCCTTTTCTGATACCTTGGCGTCATCAGTTTTCCCTACAAAAATAGAAAAAAAATTCTAATATTTAATGACTTGAAAACATCAAGCAAATGATGAAACTCAAAGCAGCATGAAAAGCAAAAGCGTGTTAGCCACAAGAGCGTGGTTAAAAATTATGATCTAGTTTGCACTAAACTTAAATGCCACTCTAAGGAGTTATACATGCAGACTTGCCAGAGAAAGTATGTGGCGTGTTTGCCCTTGAGAATATGAAAAACAGAGAACAAAGTCTTATGCAATAGTGACAGATAGGAAAAGAAATGTTTCCCTTGGTAGCTACCACAGATTGACCCCTTTCCATCATCAGTAAGGAGCTGTGTTAGGGCATTAGTATAATTTTTCTAAAAGGCAACAAAGTAAGTAACTGACCTCAACTTTTTCATGCACCATTTGCGTACACAATCAAGTAAAGAGTTATTAACTTATATTATTTCATTATGCAAGTTCAATCAGTGTTCACCCACACATCTGCAACTGCTAAAATCACTAATATATTTACAGGAAAATTGAGAACTGCAGAGTGTTTAAGTATAAATCAGCATGCTGGTTTAAGCACCGAGAAAAATGTCCTCAACCACATACGGTGTATGTTCTTAAAGTTAAGCACATATTAAGAAGCTAAAATTATATTATTTGCTCCTCAAATGGCAATACTATGCCCAATAAGTAGCATGGCTTAAGATTAGGGTTGCCATGAAAACAACTTCCAAGGTGTAAAAATACGTGTTTTTATACAAGCAGAGATAGAAATGCAGAGATACAAGATGCTGCATATTTTTCAACAACACCTAAGAGTAAAGACAGGTTTACTTGAAGTTCAAGTTCTGTCTCTGCATTTAAACAGCTTTCATATGGAACACGCTCGTGGCCTTACACTTTCCCTCACCTGTTCCAGGTGTCTTTAAGGTGCCTGAGGTGGTTGAAGGTTTAGTCCTTGGTGTGGTAATGCCAACCTGAGCTGACATGCCCCGTCGCCAGGAACCCGTCTGCGAAATAACAGTGTTCTTCCTACCAGAAGTGCTTTTATCGGATTCATCAGACACATCAGAGGGATTCCGTCTCCATTTAGATCCCGGCTCCATTTTTATGCCGCTATCTGATCCTCCATCTGATTTCTTGACTTCATCGCCAGACCATAAGGAATTCCGCTCAACCTGGGAATGTTTTTCTGCATCAGTCTAGGAGAGAGAATACATCCAAACAGGACCTTCACAAACGAGAACCATCAAATTGATCAATAAATTCAGCAGCCAGGTCAGATTGCCAATAGACATAACGTGGCTCCAGCCAAGCAATGTCAGAGTAAGACACAAACCATTGATATGACATTTCATTTCTAACGTGCTACAGAACATAACAAAAAACACACAGGCACCTTCCCCAGTAAAACAGCATCTCCCCCAGAGGAGGAGATAATAAAGAAAAACAAACACTTCATGTATAAAGGACATGCTCAGCACCACGAGGTTTATAATCCTGCACATCCAGCTGCACACGCAGCCTTTCGCTGCAAAGCCACAAACCGTTTCAGAGCAGCACAGCCAGCCCGGCCTTGCTCTCGCCGCCTCCCGTCTCTTTGCTGGCAACCTCATCACCAGGGCACAAGGAGGCAGCGATACGGAGTGCTGCTAATGCTAATCCAAATGCATTCCAAGGATGCCTAAGACCTGAAGAAAAATGAAACCCCCAGCAACTTCCTACCAATATCAATTTCTGACTTAAATACACAAATTGGTTCAGTTGTTCATTTATGTTCAGCTCGCACAAACTGCTTTTCTCCCTATCCTTTGCCCAGACTGATTGTGCTTACAGTCTCTCTCGAAGAATTTTGTGAACATCAGTGTCAAACACAGAATGTTCTCATTGCCAAGTCTTTGCCAAACTCTGAACAACTATCCAAATCCATTATCCTAAATATACTTCTCATTTATCCGTGCTGTTGCAGAATTCTATGGCTCTATTCGCTGCTCATTCATTTGGGCAAATTTTACAACACTGTTCCATGACCACACATGGGCAATGTCCGTGTTTGATCCAGATCTGGCAAAAATTTCCTGGCTGAACTGCTTTCTAACCATAACTGCAAACCCACCACTTGAGCACGACGTTTGTAAGGAGCTTTGTGTATTCTTGCAGGATGCTGAGCACCATCTCTTCCTCGAAGCGCTGTGCAACAAATCAGAGGGCAACAGCACTTTAAAGGAACTTACCTTAACAACCCTGACACCACTGTTTAACCCGCATTCTTTTATTCCTTTTGGATAACCGGAAAAGTGGAGCACGGAGAAGGATGCATGACATTTTACTAGGCTTTCAGCAGAACACAACATTGGATTTTTAAGTTCCTATACTGCATCTCAGCACCGACTTTTCTTTTCTTGCCAGATTATACCATTAACCCTAAGGAAGACAAGGGAGTTGTGGCTTTTATCCTTTGCTTTTTGCAGTATTTTTAAAAGCCTGAAAAACTAGTCTAAGTGTTCGGTACTTGAAAGATGACACCACACATTTTAACAGTCTTGTTTTCAGTTAGATAATATAGTCAGCGTCTAGGTAACATTTATCTAGTGAGCCATTAGACTAACAAGGGTTTACTGTGTTGTGGATTTTGATACTCTTCTCTGTTATATTTTTCTCCTGGCAGTCACATATCATTTCCCTCGTCTCCTCATCCAAAGACAGGAAATCAGCACGATCTTAAATGAAATACTGCTTTCCAACTTCCTTCTTTTTCTATGGGTGCAATACTTGGGGATTGCTCACATTTATTTACGAACGGCAGCAGGTCTGTAACAAACTCATGGTGAGACCATTTCTACCTTCTCTGCTTCTCTAAAACAACAATTGCATGGAAATGCCACCTTTGCTCATGCATCTTGGAAGACAGCTCAGACAAGAAGGAACAAATAATCAACCAACAAAACCACACCACCATCATCCCTCACGTGCTTTAATTACTATCTTACTTCAAGTCCCTGTTTGGAGCTATTTGCACCGCATGTGTTCCAGAGCAGAAAAAACGCCTACTTGCCTGCAAAGTGCTTATTCCAGTTTGGGTTGCTCATAAAATGTTCCTATACTTTCTGTTTAATAGTAAACAATGAGAACAGCATGGAAACATGACTAAGGAATCAAAATCAAAACACAGTGAAACTTGGCTTTGCCATTTCAACTGAAACTCCACCTACTTGAAAGACTTGCACTAGGTGAAAGTGGAAATACTGTTTGCTGGAGGTCACGGCGAGACAAACGCAACTTAGGAGGTGAACGAAAGCTGCCATCGGATTGAGCTGGAAATAAAGGTAACTAGCAGGATTTCAACACCTACTCGTACAGCTCTGTCAGCCTGGTCATACAGATGTGAACAGACTGGGTGGCACAGCCCCATGACATGGTTTCGTACTTGGCGTAACCAGGGCCAGACGCGGTGCCAGGGAAAGGCTGATTCTGACCCCACCGCTGTCTTGCTCAGAAGCAACTTGGAGACCTCTTCATGGTGTCGTTGCAGAAAGGGATCCTGTGTGCCATGTCTGGGAAGATGCAGTGACCGTCGTGCTTTCCAGCACGCTTTGCAGAGCTGTGGAACTTGTGCATGTTTCTGGAACTGTAGACACTCAGTTGCTCAGAAAAAAAGCAATTTCTTAGTCTTCTGCTTAGCACGGACTTCTTTTTTTTTCCCCTTCTGTAAGCAGGCTTTCTTCCTGCAACGATGATTCTGAGTAAGCCTTGCTGATTGTATCAACAGACACCGACATGTCAGGGCCCTCGCCCTTTGATGTGCTGCGTTATTTGTCTGGACTCTTAGTTGCTTCAAGCTCTAATTATCTGAAACCCCAATTCTGTACCACCTCAAAAGGACGTGGTAGAAGCACAGGAGCTTGAAAGTTAAACGCATGCTATGTAGGCACAACCAAAACAGAAGATGCCCTGAGAAGAAAAGTCCACATTGCTATGTGCACCTCTGCCAGTCCTTTGTGGCTCGGTGCACAGGCCAGCGTGCAACAGCAGGACAGAAAAAGTATCTATGTAGTGCTGTGTCATGAGCTGGGAGGGCTAATTCAGGCCGCTAAAAATGGACTCTCCAAACTACCCGTGGCTCCATTGCTCCAAGCTGCTGTTCACTCGCATGGCCGACAGGATTAGGATTTGATATTTTAAAGGAAAACAGAATATTTTATAAGAATTGATTTGCTGTTAATACTAGTACCTGGAATAGATACGGTCAACTGTGAAATCTAAGGGGAGAAGCAGGTCACAGAGCCAAACTGAACAACTGTATTTATAATCCGTACATCTTGGCTCCCAGTTCTCTCTTCTAATGAATATGCCCTATTGTCTGTGCAAGCTTCAGAGCCTTTTCCGTACTGCATCTCTGCACTCCCTTGGATGATGCAAAAATTGTGGAGGAGGAAGAGGAGTTTGTCAACACAGATTTTGATCTCTTAGAGGTGTTTCCAAAAATCTGATCCATCAGAAGATAAAAGTCAAATGAGTTTATTTTCCCTAGCTTAGTATTTAGTCACGTATTCTTTTCCTTTTCTTTTTTTTCCCTCCTAACAGGATTACAATGTTGAGACATTAACAGTTGTCAGAAAATCTCCTACTTGTCTCTGTTACTCTTCTGTTATTTAGCAGAGAACATGCTCAGTTGATGTGAACTCCTCTCAGCTTGCACGGGACACGTATTAGCAGCTTTGTGCATGCACAGAATCACTGATACACAACCCGAGGCTGGCTCTGGAAATCCTGAATGCAGGCTCAAATATGCACTTAATGCAAGAGAACAAAGAGCAATAGCTGCTTGCACCACCGTCCTGCAGGCAGCAACCACATTTGTGCATTAAAACTTATATTAAAAAAAAAAAAAAAAAAGATTTGGAGTCCAGTCATGAAAAGAAAAAAATAAAAGAGAATAAAGAAAACAGAAAAAAAAGTCAAATATACACGTCTGTCCCCTACTTGCTGCAGTGCTGAGCACTGCATTTGCTTTGACACGGGACACTCGATTGCCTCGAGCAGGTGAGTATACAAAGAACATAACTGGATTGCCCAGGCCAGCACTTTGCCAAATGAAATCTTGTACCATTAGGGAAAACAGGTTGTATTACTGCGAATCTCTGTATTACACTATTTAATTGACGAATAAAAACTGCTTGATATCTTCACTAGTTTAACCTATCAGGTGTATAATATCCAAGCATAAAGAACTACAGGTAAGCTGCTGGTGGACATAAAATTTATCTTCCTACGAAGTGCAGCCAAAAGTAGAAAGCCTGCAGTAACTTGCAGCCCTGGAAGTTTAAAGCAATATATTTTATTTGCCTTGTACATTTGCATTTTCATTTATGCATAATTTATTTTTAAAAACCTCATGTTCACTTAAATTCTGTTCTTTAATAAAAAAACCATAACCCTTTTCTAGAGCTAAGAAAAAACCCCATCTATTAATAGGTGTTTTCATACACCATTTGCATTAAGAGACAACAACTCCTTTGCTGTCATACCACCTAAGCAGACTCCACGGCTATCGCATGGAGAGGAAATAATCCTGTACAGACATAAGAAATGGGGGTCACAATTGCACAAAGTTGTCTTCTCAGTGGTACCCACTGCACGGAAGATTATATGTGAGTTCACATGCTCCAGGGCATAAGAAAGCCGGAGGTAGTAAAGGTCCATGTAAAATATTAGTGTCGGCTAATTCAGGAATCTGTTGCTTAGTTTTGATAGTCTGCAAAGTAATATGCTATTAAACATTTGCCAAGGCAATATCCACTGTTCTTTGCACTCTTAGTTCTGCTCTGGATCCGTTTTCACGTTTTTCGCTCTGCGTCGTAAAGAAAGCTGCGAATGAGAGCAGCTGAACACACACTGATCCCAACACCCCCACACGGAGTTATCACTACAGCAAGAGCCCCCGCCTGCCAGAGGATGAACCAGCAGCTCCTCCAACCTTGAACGGTTTCGCCTACTGCACGGAGAAAACAATCCATGCAAGAAAACAATCCCAAGTTCCTGTAACTCAGACAGGAACCTTACCTGCGCATCCAGGTTTTTGCGGGAGGAGGCAGGCGTGTTGGCGTAGGAGCTGATGGAGGAGCTCGTGTTAATGTCATCCGTACTGAGGTTGTCTATGGTGTCACTGATGCCGCTGCTGACTGAGCTGCTGTCATCCCAGCTGGAGGAAAAGCAAAGCAAAGGGACACAACAAGGGTCAAAAGACAACACATAATTCAAAATGAGCATTGTTTTCACAAGCCTTATCCTACTGGCGATTGCCAAATGAGAAGGGTCTGCTCTTGTTCACGATTTATCTCCTTCGGACACCAAGCTCATCACCTACCTGCCTGCCATGTGGCCTACGCTCTATCACCGCTAGGCCTGTAGTACCAATGGCATAATTCTTCTTCCTGGCTCAGTTTAAAGCTTTTATCAAAAGCCAAGCTTTAAAATTGACCCCAACCTTCATGCCTGCACCCTGGAACAAGCTAAGGAGGCACAAGGAAGAAAGTTTATCTTGCTAGGCATAGTGCTAACTTGCTAAGCCATAAAGCAGAGACGGAATTAAGCACAGCAAAATGAGTGCTGGGGCCAACCTTTGTACTTCCCACCCTGTCAGGCAATCCTAGTCGGCGGTGTAAATTGTCAAGAGTTTTAGAAAACAAGACAACTGCTTGTAGCAGCTGAGAGTTTAACCCGAGAAAGCCCCTGTTCAGAGGGCCGACGACTCTCCTGCCTTGCACGACTCTCCTGTTTGAGCAGATAAAACAGCTTACGAGTTAGGATTAGCTTCTCCCAAGGTGTGACAGCTTCCATGTCTTCTAGTGCCTCGGAAACACAGGCCTGGAAGTTTAGGACACAGAAACCACCAGCAAAAATACCCAGATCTGAAGTGATTCGAATGTAGTCATGGCCAAAATCAAAAGGACCTGAAAGCCAAGGCAGATGCTCCACTCCTGACAGGCCCTTAAACACAAGCTGCTTAAGGCAAAGATTTATAAACTGGCAAACAATTTTCCGGCATCATTTTCAGCATAACTCAATGTATGATGCGCTGGTGGTATAAAGAAATCCAGGAAGGTAGGGGGAAAAAAATCCTAAATTTTCCTCCAGGATGGAAAAATTGAAGACTTGGAAAAGAACTGAAATTCCTTTTTGCAGTACCTGTCCTTAGAGCAGGCAATTAGGTACTTTTATTGTAATATATTGAAAGTTCTACTACCTCTGCATTTCATTTTTTAAAAATGGGACGTATACCTAATAATTTTTTTTTTTGAAGACCTACAACAAAAAGCACTTCCTAGATGTTACAAGCTTATAAATAAGTTCATAAAACTGATATTAAAATAACTAGACATATAAACTCACTGGTCATTTTCTAAGTTTCTTGTAACAATCAACAATTTCTCTTTTTATTTCTGAACCTACAAAAAACAAGCCTTCCCCTGCAAAATGAGCAGTGCTGATGTTTTCCGTATTCAACAGTTTAACCTTCTTATAGGTATATCGCATTTGGAGAAAAAATATTTTTTTCTGATAAAATGAATACACTTACTAGTGTTATCTGCTGACAATACATAATTCAGCCCTCATTCCCACCAAATAACTTTTTGTTTTAATGGACAAATATGCATTTCAGGTATTGCAAACCAAGTCCTCCAATGAGGGGATTTTTTTTTTCCTTTTTTCTACCCACACACCTTTCTTAACCCAGCCCTGGCCCGAGTTTAACAGCATCTAAAGAATGTGTCTAATTGCAATCACAAGTAGTTTTACCGGTATCACTCAGTGCTATTGACTTTAGTGCAGCAATTTAGGGCACTATGGAAATATTTAAGTGCCCTTCTGAACCGGGACATGTGCCTCTGGGCAAAGGTGGAAACATGCATCTGAATACATTGACTCGTGTGGCCTCTTCTTCAAGATATCCTGGCCTTTAAACTTGTTATTTTCTGATGGAAACTATGAACAACTCGCACTTTGTATTTTCAAGTTTGCTATTTTTTTTTAACCAAACTTTAAAAAAAAATCAAAAGAAAAAGAAAATACTTCTTGAGGTCCAAAGACAGGTGTCTAATTCCATTAAAATGCATAGTTCAAGCTGTTTTTAAGCATCCTTCCTATCAAGAGCTGTTCGTTCACCCCAAGAAGCCCCCTGCACTGTAAGGAAAAGCCGTCTTGGTCAGTCTGCTAGAGGAGAGGAGCGCGTCGTGCCCGCAGCTCCTTGAACATAGAGCGTCCGTGAACAAACTGACAGACTCTGCTGCCCTGCTCTCGAGGCAACCCCAAGCCCTCCACGTAAATCAGCTCCCTTTTACCTTGCTTCAGTGTCTGGATGGTTAAAGCCAAAAGAAAGGCAGCGAAATGGGAAGTCTCAGCAGCCCTGGCAATTACAGCTCTCTTGGCTCCCAAGGCACGATAACATCTTTGTAATTTAGCTGCTGCAATTAATAATTCCTGATGTCAGCAAAAGCCTGCTCAACCATGACTTGGAGCTGGGATGCTTGGGCTTTCCTTCCTCTGCTTGATCAATCGACTGAAGCTTTCCTTTGATTACTGAACATTACGGGAGTTCTTGAAAGCATATTTCACCCTCTCGTCTCATATATAGGGAAATTACACAGCCACCCACTGAAAAAACATCGGCACTACTGAAACCCTGCCAGGTTGTACATGGGGTCAAACAGCTCCATTCACGTTAGGTTTTCTCAGATGAGATGTACCTATGGGCGCAGCAAAGCTTCAAACAGCACTAAATACTGCGAGGTCCTGAGTATCCACTCCTGTCAGCGTGCCTTAAGTGCAAAGTAGCTGCCCCCATCTGATACTAATACTTTAAAGGTGAGGAGGGTATTTGGCGAGCAGGACTTACAGGGTTACAGCCCAATCCCAACTCGAAGCTTTCCCAGTCTGGCTGACCCAGTACCTTGTACTTCCCCGTAGGAGAGGAAGCCTCCTCCTTCTCAAGCTGCTCTCTGTTATGTGGCAGGAGTGGTTTCCCCTTAAATTGGAGCGAGCTACTCGGAACACACCACTTCTAACCCAAGAGGCCTCCCGTTCTCTCCTGGGCTGGGCGCGCTCGCACTAACCCAAGGGGCCTCCTCGCCCCAACCCCAACGTGACTAACGCTGCTCCTAAAGCAACGCATGCACCTCCGACGCACAGCATCAGGTCGACTAACTGCTCAAAGCCAATTTGCTTTTTTTGTTTTTTGAAACCGGTTTGCAGAGCAGTTATCCTCAGACTTGCGTTTTCCTCCAGTCTATCAGCATGTTTCCATCTGGCATAATCATCATCCCCAGAATTGGCTCTTCTTTGTCAGCTTGGCCGGCACACGGGGCCTTCGTGCAGCCCTCGGGACGCCCCCTCACTGCAGCAATTCCCACATTTGCAAGTCCAAAGCAAAGGAGTCATCAAAACATTACTAAATAAAGCCATTGTGGAGGGCTGAAACGCACCCTTCCCCAGCAAAGGGTGTGTTTTAACTTTGCTGAATCTTCAGTCAAAACCGAAATTACAATGAGCTGCTGAAAAATGCGTTCGTCAAAGACGGGGCCTTGGGGCTCTACAATACCTCAAATGGAAATGTGGTAATTATCCTCTTCTACCTAAAAATTTAACTATTTATTAGTTGATAGGAGAACAACAACAAAAAAAGTGCAAATGTAAAATGGTTGAAACTTTGTAGCCTTTTCAAAGGATTAAGTGGAAAAAAAGAAAAAAAAAGCAGAAAAAAAAAATTTAATTGTGTGATAAAGCAAGAATTCCACTGCTTTCTTCTGCAGAGATTTTCTGTAACATCAGCATCAGGGTATCCGGATTCCAAAAACCATACACTAGTCCTTGCATAGTTTTCTTTTCAAATGCATTAGGAAGGGTGATAAATGACTGTTTGCAAAAGAATGGATGGAGAACCCACTTTCAGAATGTATTTTAAGCGGATATAAATCACCCACCTTCTCCTGTAAATCCACTTGTCTTCAGTAAATCCCTTCTTTTACAATTTATTATAGGCATTTAATTTAAAAAAAAAATGTTTCTAAATAAAGGGATGTCACCATAACACTGAAATGCTTTGAAGAGCAAGACTGTCAAAAGCAAAAGGTGGTTCGGTTCTGTTTTGTTTTACCTGCACGGTTTCAAAAACACTACTGGAGCAGCAGTTGGGTAACTGTATTAGGGTGCACAGCTTGACTGGTGGAACTTGTTTTCTTGGCCATTGCTCCAAACCATTGTTCCTCGGCCGTGATGCAGCCTCGAGGCGAGGTGATAAATCAGCGTGAGCTCCTGCCTTTGACCCCAGGGCTGGAGGAACCCCGAGGCGCAGCCCAGGGAGAAGCACCTTGCACCACACGTGAAGCCCTGGGGATGGGTGCTGCTCCCCGGTCATTTCTGGGCCACTTGACGGACTCCAGCTGATTTACGCGAGCACAGGCTGGAAAGAGAACCTCGGTCCTCCGAGCTTGACGTGAAGCCTCACTGGCTATCATGGAAAACGTCAGAAATCCCAGTGGGGAGCAAGGAGCAGCTCTGGGGTGGTGGTGGGGAGAGAGGAACGGCCACCTGGGGGGGGTGACAAGCCGGACACGTCTCTGGGGCAGCACCAAGGCGGAGGCCCCGGCTCCTGGCCCTCCTCAGCTGCTCACGCGTTCTCCTCATCGCGGAGCTGACACCTTCGGGGTCACCTTCCCTCATGAGGCAAAAGCCCTGCTGAAGCCAGGGCACGCAGCACCGGGAACACAAATCCCGGATTGGAAACCTCCTCTGGAGCTTGATCTGGCAGGGGAGAGCGAAACAAAGGGAAGCTTCCCAGCTCCCGGGCGAAATAACAACACAAAGATGGGGGAAAAACACAGATTAGCTAAATTCTTTGAGCGCTGACGTAACGACAAAGGGGAAGGAAAGGAATGAAGGGCCGTGTGGAAACAAAAACGTGAGGCTCTGCCGAGCCAGCCAAGGCACAAACCTGTGCTCACGCCCGCGCGCTGCTCCGGGGCCCGGAGCTCGCTCGCGCTCCGTCGGCGGGAGGCGGCACGGGAACGCGCGCCTCTTGGAAAGCCCTTGTGTCCGCTGACACACGCTCCAAGGAACGGCGGGCTTGGCAACGGAGAGGCACTCATGGGGCGGCTGGGCACGGCGCCGTCCCGCGGGAAGCGGAGCCGCCGGGAAGCAGCTCGTGTTGCCGCGCCGCTGCTGAAGGCGGCAACGCGGGCACGAGGCAGGGGAGACGTTCCCTCCCTCTGGCCCGGGAAAGCCGCTGTTTGCTCCTGCAACATCGTGACTAGCACCCGTAAAGCCCAGGCGAGCTCAGGCTTTAAAATGAGGCTAATACGAAAGAGGCTACGAAAGGAAAAAGATCAGATCAGCTTCCTCAGACAAAGAGTCTCTCCGGAAGCCCACGGAAATTGGCACAGGAGTGAGAAGTGGGTATCGTGTGGCCCTGTGCCGCGGCAAAGCTCGGAGACAGCCTCGGGCGCACCAAAAGGGGCTTCTTGCACCCAGCAATAACAAAAACCTGGAGTTTTCCCAGGCTAAGAGGCACTAACCCGAGCAGGAAAGATACCTGGCTGGTCTACAACCTATTGAACGCTGATGATCAGGCAACAAACCCTCCAGGCGGCTGGGGCAAAGTCAGAAAAAGACAAAAAGCAATACTTAATTTCCTGTCATTTCCTTCAAATGCCTGCCACCTATCAGAAATCCATCAATTTGAGGTAGTATTCAGCAATTCAAACGCAATACGTAAAAAGCAGGGAGAAAGCTGCTATTTACTGCCCACTGCCTGCCCTGCAGCAGAGGGACAAGGCACCACACAGACCTGGCTCTCCAAGCACACAGCGCTCCTCACCTTGCAATATTCCCCGGCCAAAGCATTTCGCCACCTTGCTGCCCATGAGGAATTCCAGAGAAGGGGCTGAGATTGATCTTACAGGCTGACACCTTCATTGGGCCACCATCCACTCACCGGCACGGCGGAGCTCTCTAAAAAGAGGCTTTTCCGAGGGAGCGAGGAACGCTCCGCGGCTCCGGAGGACACTGCGGAGCAAAGCGCAGCCCCAAGGTGATCATCAGAAACTTCCCCGGCAAAGAAATCCGATCCCTCCGCAGCGTTAACCCCTGAAGTGCCGAGAGAAGGAGGCGAGCTCACGGCTTGCCGCTGCTGCCGGATCGTCTGGGAAAAGCTGGGAGCCAAGGGCTGTAAAACGGGCAGCCGGGGCCTGCGGATCACACAGCGCAGCGCAGACGCGAGGGCTTGTGCCAGCCGCCCTGCGCTTTAGGGCACTAAGGGACAAGGTGTGATCTCAGCTAGCAGCCTGCAGGCCTGAAAAGCACTTCTTTTGTACACTCTCACATACAGATTGCACAGCGAAACTGCTGAAATAACTACAATTTGTATATTTTTATGAGAATACAGCAGCATTAGGAGATACCCCAATTGTTTCACTGGAAGATATTTGGAATATTGACAAAATACTGTTTTTTTTTTTTTTTTTGGTCATGAGAGGTTTTCAGTATTTTTCTTTCCATGAAGACTTTCTGATCCTGGGAGGTGATACGTACAACTTCTACGAGCAGTTATTGGGTATACCAATCCTTACTTCAAGCCGTAGGAATAAAGGGCTTGTGTGCTGGAGCTGGCACTGGGGCTTGACCTGAAAGGCCACCCCAAGAGGACAAGGATGCCGGGGGGCGCTAGTCGAGAGGCTGCTTCAAGATCAGTGGGAGCAGAGGAGAAGCTGCCCCGGACGGGAAAAAACAACAGGTTGGTGGGTGAAATGCTCCGAGGAGACTTGTCGGAGCCTGGGGACAGAGATGGGATGTGGTCCCTGGGAAAGATCCAGAGACCAAGAGAGATCGGATGTAAACCTGAGGCAAGATAGTGAGTCTGACTGGACGGAGGGCTTAAGGAGAGGGAATGGGAGGGTAAAACAGAGAGAACAGGATAGAGAAAAAAGGTGTGAGCTCACGAACTCGGACCTACGCACAGAGAAAAGGGATTAAATTCAGGTTAGCATCTACAGGTTTTCATCATATTTAGCTACTTAAACTGGGAACATGGCAAACATCGACCCCCTCCTTGCTGTAGTTCCTGCAGCTCCTGATGTGAGCGAACGCGACGAGCTCTAGCGAGAAGGGACCAGGCAGGGAAAGGCTCATTCATGGAGCGGGAAACCGCCCGGCTCATCGGGGCGGCCACCTCCCCGCTGTCCAGGTTGCTGCAGAGCCAAGGAAGGCGCCGGCAGCCCGTGGGATGCAGGAGGCCCTTGGGATGCAGGAGGCCCGTGGGATGCAGGAGCACTGCATCTCCAGCCTCGCTGCAGGAAAACCACCAGCCATCCAGCCCGGAGCCAGAGCCGCCCCCAAGGGAAGGGCAGGCGGAAAACAACCACCTCCGGGAGGTAGTTCCACACGGCTCCGCGCCCCGTTTTAAATAAAACGCCTCTTTTACCATATTGTCACATTCTGACTGAAAGAGTTAAACCACAAGAATCCACCGGGTACAAAATAAAGGCTTGGTGGAGAAATTCTTCTGCCAAAACCTTGAAATAAGCGGGCTGCGGCCTACGCCGGCCTTTCCGCTCTGCAGTCTGTATTTTAGCGGCCGCCGTGCTGCTACAGCAACCAAGAGAGTGGCAGTTCACAGACCGGCTGTCTAGAGCAACGCCAGCGATAAGGGCGGCCTGGGGAGGGCATGGTCCAACACGAGGCCTGTGCTCACATGGAGAAAGGGCTGTCTCCTTCCGCCTTGCAGCTGGACTCTATCTGTATGAAGTCAGTCTGGTGACGGCTCACACGCACCAACACAACTCTCCTCTGCTTCGGGGGATGCCTGGGAACCACAGCGCGGTCGCCCTGGCCCCTCTGCGTGCGTACGGACACAAAGTCCATGCACACACACTTGCGGTGTACAGAAAGAGCCTTTGATAAGACACAAAACACTGCCTTATCCACCATAAAAGTGAGGGGGAAGATATTAATTGACTACTACTAATCCATTTGTCGACTCTTCACCTGGCCAAACTCTCTGCGGGCTTTAATCCAGTTAAAGGTGCTCTTCAAGAGCAAATCCCGTAAGCTACTTCCCAGTGATTCATTTAACCGTGTGTTAGTTGCTACAGATAACTTTTAGATAATACAGATGCATACAAGAATCAACAAATCATTCAGACAAGTTTTCTTCTGATCTGTAAACACTTCCGGTAAAATAACAAAAATGAGCAACCGGTGTGTTCTGCTCATAAATAAGAACAATATTCTAATGCCAGAAACGATCATATCTGAAACTGTAACCTATGGAAGAGGAAGGAGAACATCGCACCCGTTCAGTCGGCAGCTCCCCACAAGGGCGGGATCCAGCGCGGCAGCGCGACGCTCCCGTCGGTGCCGCTCCGCAGCCTCGCTGTCCCCTGCTCGCCGGCAGCCCCTGCGCCGACGAGGAGGAGGAGGGACCGTGCAACACGATCCCCGCCACACCACGCACTGGGGACATCGCCGGCGGAACCGTGCACGCAGCAATAACCATAGTCTTGGGGTCAGGAAGTTGGGAAGATTAGCGTGTTATGGCTGCAGCGCATAAAAGCGCTTGTGTTAGGACTGCCACATAGCAATGGGGTGAGATAAGCTGCCAACAGCTTTGCAGTAAGTTCTTTTAGGGCAGTTAAAGTTTGAGAGCAGTAAAGAGACTCCAGGTATTAATTTACCTAAAGAACAGCTGCTCCGAAAAGGTTGCAAAGTGTCCTAATGTGCAGGGCAATAAAACCTGGGCACCCCCACGCTGCTGCCTTTAGCACGACTGCATCCCTGGTCTGAACTTAGCAAAGAAATTCTGCAGCAAAAAAACATACCCAAGAAAACCTGCGTTTTGGCTCTCTTTGGAAACGCCCGAAAACCACGATTACAGGTTTGCTCTCTAGCTTACAGCAGCAAGACACTTGTTTTGCTTCAAGCTCTCCCTTAGAGCACTCTGTAAGGCCTGAAATTGGGGCTTATTTCAACGTGTTACACCTCCTCAGTTTTATATTCCTAATTGGCTGAGATACATCACTTTGTTGCTTATACAATGTCTGCTCTTGCTGATTGCAATGACTGTGAAAGTAATGCAAACAGTGCAGCATGGGAAGACGCTACACTTCGGAGTGTTTATAAGCTATTTCATAAGGTTTGTCTGCCAAATTTCACTTCGGAAACGACTGCACTTGCAATGCTTCTGTTAATTTGTGCACGTTAAACAAAAATAAACCCTTTAAAAGCAGATTTATCGATGAAAAATATCCACGAGGCCATAAAAGCAAGAACACAGCACAATGCTTCACTTAACGACTACCGTGCATCGGATATTAGGGTTAAAATTCTGCATGTCAGCAGAAACAGCCTACACGCTGCGTTCAAGGCAAATCTACAGACCAACCTGTTGCACTTAAACAAAACTGGCAATCCCAGGGAAGGGATTTCTAATTAAATGTAGAGCAACAATGGAACCGCACAGCTCCACAATTTTTTAAATATATATATACACACATATATATATATACACACATATATATATACACACACGTGCACTGCCACAATCCTGTGAAATTTTGTCTTTTCGCTGTGGTTGTAGAATGGATCAGCAAAAATGAGATACCTTTTTGAATTTCTCTCTTTCTGCTGAATGGAAGAGGCATAAAATCTGCAGCCTGATGAAGGGCGTACACTATGAAACATTCTTTTATTCCATGTTTTTAAGCCTCAAGGGCCAGATTCCTCTCTTGTCTTGGAGAATTCCCTGAAAGTAGAGATTGAACTAGGGTGGGTACAGTCTGCATTTCATTTTTATATGGAAAAAAATACGACGCCTGAAATAACCGAGGCCTTTTCCTCTTTTCTTCTCTAAGAGGATCTGCACAGCACACACATCCCTACAGTCCTGCACATACAGTTCAGGAAAGACGGGGAGAGTTTCCCAGTGCATGGTCAGGTTTCCCAGGAGTGACCCAGCACTAATTTTAGCAGGTCAGATTATGCTCTGCACAGCCAAACGAACGTAAATCAGCCTGCCTGTCTCCTCCTTGTGGACACGGTGCTGCTTTTTCTCCTCTGAAAATGCTGCTCCTACAGACTATTCCACTGGCGTTGGTGCCCTGCAAGAGAAGATTATGCAGGGGAGATTCTTCATACAAGCACAGCAGCACTTCAGGTGTACGTCCCCAATGACTGTTGAGAGTTTTACGATTATGGAGTCCTGAAATTAAATGATGTTACTATTTAAGACAATGGCAAAATTGCCATAGGCTTCCAGAGTCAGGATTCCAGACCCGAAGAGGATGTGCACACAGGAAAGATGAATGTTTGGAATAAAAATAACAATTATTGCATTGATTATGTGCTATGAAGACAGTCTAAGACAGACTTAGGACTGATTTCCTAAGAATATCCTTCCTCTGATCAACTCTTCAAGAAATTCATAACTTCACCCACCAAGGTTACACACGCGTGATGGAGAAAGGAATATCTTCACAAAATATATGCTAAAAAGGGTTTTATAACATCTTAGATTTAAAGACCATCTAAAATTGCAATAGCCCCCACTGAGCGCTTGTGTTGACACAAGCGTTAGGTATGTTTTATACTCTACCTGTTTCAAATAAACCAGCACATGGGAGTCACTAAGCAGAAACAGCTCCTTTCTGCTGGCGGCAGAGAGAAGGGCAGCAGCGGGGGATAAATAATCAATAAGCAATACAAAGCCAAGATGCTGAGCTGTCCTGCAGTTTGTGTGCTGTTATTGCCTCCAAGGAATTCCTGACAAATTCCAGCGGTGGACTCACTTCAGCCAGGGACAAGCACTTGCTTCTGAATTTAAACCCCACTACCAAATCCAGCTTCTTCAGCAAGGCATTTTATCAGTGCTCTTGCTATATATACATAAAATGTACATCTGTATCTTTTTTTTTTTTTTTTTTTTTTG